TAGGGAAGAGTTAGCACATTAAAATCTGTATTAATGTACTGAAATCAAAACTAAATAAAATGGCTTTTCCTTTTCTAATACTTACTCCATGTGATGAGGCAGGGAGAAGCTCTTCTAAGAGAAGTTGCTGTGCAGCTCAAGGCCTGTGGTCTGCTTCTAGAAAGGACCGCGAATCTGAAACCCTCAAATAGAGTCCCCTGAATTTGGAACAGAAGTGTAAAATGCCCACAGCAAAGGCTTTCAGAAAAGTAGGATACCTTGCCATCTGACTGTACTCTTGTATAATGAGCAAACTCTTCTGTGTAAAGTTTCACTGTATAAAAGCCCATCTTGATTTCAGATATGAAAGATTTCTTGACCTTGCAACTATCAATTCTGCTCTGTTTTTCCATAAGCCAGTACCCAACCAACCATCATAGTAAATTTATGTTAACTTTTAAAGGCCATTGGTATGAGTAAAAAATCTCATCTAATTAATATTTAGGTCAGTACCTTAAAAAGCCAAGCACATAGCAAGCACTCAGTAAATGCCTGGTCAATTGAATTTTTAATCCTTTATCATATATATATATATTTTTTTTTTAATTTTATTTTTTGAAACAGAGTCTTAACTCTGTCACCCAGGCTAGAGTGCAGTGTCAAGACTTCAGCTCACTGCAATGTCCATCTTCCAGGGTTGATCAGGTCTCGTACCTCATCCTCCTGAGCAGCTGGTATTACAGGTGTGTGCCACCATGTTGGCCAGACTAGTCTTGAACTCCTGGCCTCAAGTGATTCACCTGCCTTGGCCTCCCAAAGTGCTGGGATTACAGGCATGAGCCACTGTGCCCAGCCTAGTCCTTTATCATAGACTCTCAATTAATTATAATTGGCCACTTTTTAACTAAACCTTTCTTCCCAAAAAGGACTGCCTATTGCATTTATAAAGCTATGTAAGTGGCATCTGTGGAACAAGCTAGAATTGATTGCTTATTTCATGGAGGAAAGAATTCCATCCACTGACTGAATTATCTGTAGTATTTAAGATGTGATGCGCTTAATGATGTTTAGTGAGTGAGTCTCTGTTCCTGGGTCTTATTTCTTGGCCTTTTCTCTGTCTGCTGCTCAATTTTATAACCATCTTCCAGGTGTACACTGCTTAGACACTTTGAAAAATAGAGTATATTTTAAAATTGAAGAAAACTGCATATTCTGGCTATGTTTTATTATCTCCATCTCTGTTTGTTAATTTGAAGAAATTGAAGGGAGGTAACGATTCCAAAACCCCATAGTACAGAAATATTCTGCAAAAAGCAGTAGTATTTGAAGGACCATTTTAAAAAGTTTAGTATCAGTATGTTAAATGTAAGATAGAAATTTGTTCTACCTCATCAATTCAAACTTTAAAAGAATCCCTATAAAGTATTAGCAAAAAAGGTGCCAAATTCACTCTGATGATAAACACTTAACAGTGGAGATCATTTTAATTCTAGGTACTTATAATTATTTTCTATGTGCTGAAAATACTTGTTCTGCGTCAAAATTTTCTGTTGCATTTCAATTTTTAGCATCTCTTCTAAAACCTTTAGAGTGTCAGATGATACATCCTAGTGTTTCTCTTAGGATGGCATTGTAGGTAAATTAAAATCTTGCCAGATTCAACTGAAAATCAAAATATTGGGCCAGGTATGGTGGCAGGTGCCTGTTAGCTACTCAGAAGCAGGAGGATCGATCGCTTCAATCTAGGAGTTCCAGGCTGCAGTGCACCTTGATCACACTTAAGAATAGCCACTGCACTTCAGCCTGGGCAACACTGCAAGACCTTGTCTCTATTAAATAAAAATAAAAATGGAAATACTGGGTTTTTTAAATTTTTTGAGTAAGCAAGTGTTCTTTCATTTCTAAGATTTTGAAACATAATGCTTGCAAATCGTTTGCCTTCTACATGAAAATACTCTGTAGGCATTTCTGCTGCTTTTAAGAGGAATTTAAAATTCTTTATAAAAATGAATTAACTATGCTTACCACAATCTTAATATTTTATTCTTAGTTTTGACTTAAATAATTTGTAATATATATTGACTCCTCAAAGAAATGGAGGTCTAGAGATGATAAACAAATTCTAGGTGAGTCCATTATTTAATTACCTGCAATAAATTAGCATTTTTATAGCTAGTTGGTCTGTAGCAACACATAAGTTATTTTAGCTTCCCAAAACCTTCATAATTTTTATTAGCTGTGTTAATGTCCCTGATTTAATTTTGTCCTTTCAATTTGTGTAACTATTTCTCCCGATGCATATTATTGTCTTTTGTGTAATTAAAGGTAGTATTATAGTTATCAATTGCCAGCAATAAGTGGATAGGGCTTATCCCATGTCATTGGTAACTATCTGCATAATATATTGCTCAGCATAGAGCTTGTACTTTAAAATGATTTTTAGGTTGTGTGTCCTTCTGTTATAAATCAGTCTTAACTGCATTTTCTTAGAATAAAGAGTATCAAGGGAACTGATTCCATGCTATTTTTAGTCAGAATATTAATACATTTCATAATTGATATTGTAACATCCATGTTGAAGCCAAACAGTGTAAAATTTATGGTTAACTATTTGCATTTTATACTGTAAGTTTTTCTCTTTTTTTTTTTTTTTTTTTTTTTTTTTGAGACGGAGTTTTGCTCTTTTTACCCAGACTGGAATGCAATGGTGCTATCTCGGCTCACGGCAACCTCTGCCTTCTGGATTCAGGCAATTCTCCTGCCTCAGCCTCCCGAGTAGCTGGGATTACAGGCACGTGCCACCATGCCCAGCTAATTTTTTTTGTATTTTTAGTAGACACGGGGTTTCACCATGTTGACCAGGATGGTCTCGATCTCTTGACCTCGTGATCCACCCGCCTTGGCCTCCCAAAGTGCTGGGATTACAGGCGTGAGCCACCACGCCCGGCCACTGTAAGTTTTTCTCTTGCACACAGTCATATGCTTTCAACAGTTACGACTTAAAATATTCACACTTCTGTCTCTGAACAAAATGTATCTATATAAAAATTACAACTGGCCGGGCACGGTGGCTCATGCCTGTAATCCCAGCACTTTGGGAGGCCAAGGCAGGCAGATCACCTGAGGTTGGGAGTTAAAGAGCAGCCTGCCCAACATGGTGAAACCCCGTCCTTACTAAAACTACAAAATTAGCCAGGCATGGTGGGGCATGCCTGTAATCCCAGCTACTTAAGCTGAGGCAGGAAAATCTCTTGAACCCAGGAGGCGGAGATTGCGTTGGGCTGAGATTGCACCATTGCACTCCAGCCTGGTAACAAGAGCGAAACTCCGTCTCAAAAAAAAAAGAAGAAAATTGTAAGGGTTGGGCACAGTGGCTCACACCTGTAATCCCAGCACTTTGGGAGGCCGAGGCGGGCAGATTATGAGGTCAAGAGATCGAGAATACCCTGGCCAACATGATGAAACCTCGTCTCTACTAAAAATACAAAAAAAATTAGCCGGGGGTGGTGGCACATGCCTGTGGTCTCAGCTAATCTGGAGGCTGAGGCAGAAGAATCGCTTGAACCCAGGAGGCAGAGGTTGCAGTGAGCTGAGATTGTGCCACTGCACTCCAGCCTAGTGACAGAACAAGACTCCATCTAAAAAAAAAAGAAAAAAAATTGTGAGGAAGAGAAGTATATTTACTATTCATTAGGTGGAAGCAGATCATCATAAAGGTCTTCATTCTCATCGTCTTCATGATCTTCATGTTGAGGAGGAAGGGGAGGACTTGGTCTTGTTCTTGCTGAGGTGGTAGAGGTAGAAGAAAATCTGTGTAAGTGGATCACTGAAGTTCACACCCATGTTGACAAGGGTCACCTTTAATGCCACAGGCTTCTATGTGCATCCGTAACCTGTTTCCACAAGGGACCAATCCCTGAGGATGCCGTTGCAGCAGGACTTGGCAAAGGAATGAAAGGGTTTCTGAAAATCCCTCCCAGAGTGCCTGCAGGAACTACTCTGATCCGTAATTTAACTCTCTTAAGACAGACACCTCTGATCTCTCTCAGCTTGTGGGTGGTACCATGGGAACTATCTGCATTTTCCAGTTATTACTTTATGTGTTTAATCTGCTGTTTTCTCATTTCTTGGCTCAGATAAGGTGATCTGTGTCTACAGTGGTCAAAAGATAAGAATAATATTTCAGTATATATTTGCAACTCATAAATTTTTCTTAGAATCGTGTAACATATCATTTCTTTTATGTCATTACGTATAATACAAGAAGTAAACAAGCTACTTACCCATAGTTTTAAACTATTCTTTTAAACCCTGCCGTGTTGCAAATGCTGAGAATTAAATGGGCTTTAATTTTTAATGGACTTTTAAAGTTGTAAATGGGTAGAGGTCAGGAGTTAGAAAATGGCTATTTTTTATTTTATATTTTTTGAGACAGATTCTTGCTCTGTCACCCAGGCTGGAATACAGTGGCACAGTCTTGTCTCACTGCAACCTCTGCCTCCCAGGTTCAAAAGATTCTTCTGCCTCAGCCTCCTGAGTAGCTGGGAATAGAGGTGTGCACCACTGCACCTGGCTAAATTTTTATATTTTTAGTAGTGATGGGGTTTCACCATGTTGGCAAGGCTGGTTTCGAACTGCTAACCTCAGGTAATCTGCCTGCTTCAGCCTCCCAGAGTGCTGGGATTACAGGCATAAGCCACTGTTTCCGACCAGTTTTAATAAGCTAAACAATCTATGTGCAGTGGCATGCCCCAGGAGTTGAGGCCAGCCTGGGCAACACAATGAGACCCTGTCTCACTGTGTTTATATATTTACAATAATAAATAAATACGAATTTTAAAATACAAAGTTAAACAAATCTGATTACATGTTATACATTTGCCTCCTTTACATTTTCTACTAAAGGCTATTCTGAGGATAGATTATCTTGAAATTATGTTGAAATTGAAAACTGAATTACATTTGTACTTTTTCTCTGATGCACTTTTATGATTTTCTGTACCCCTTGGAACCTTTTTCAGTTTCATCAGGCTGGGGAGAAATGCCTAATGTTCACTCAAAGACTGAACACTCTTGGGGAGAACCATCCTCCCCTTCTACCCTGGTGGACAATGGCACAGCAGCATGGGGGAAGCCTCCCAGCAGTGGCAGCGGGTGGGGAGATCACCCTGCCGAGCCGCCGATGGCGTTTGGAAGAGCTGGCGCACCTGTTGCTGCCTCGGCCCTGTGCAAACCAGGTAAGCCTAGCATCTTGCTTGCCCTGATCTGGCAATTTAGAAATGACTCTCAAAGTGCTGAATTTTAAAAAGTAGCATTTTAGAATACTTTCCTTATAATGTTTATACTTTAAGATTAACCACAAACCAAGAATCTTGGCCAAACACAGTGCTTTATACCTGTAATCCCAGCTCTTTGGGAGGCCAGGGCAGGAGGATCACTTGAGCCCCGGAGTTCAAGACCAACCTGGGCAGCATAGTAAGACCTTGTCACTACAAAAAAAATTGAAAAATTAGCAGGGCATGGTGGCACATGCTGTAATCCCAGCTACTTGGGAGGCTGTGGTAGGAGAATAGCTTGAACCCAGGAGGATAAGCCATGATTGTACCATTGCATCCAGCCTGGGCAATAAAGCAAGACCCCATCTCTTGAACAAAAATCCAAGATTATAAAATATTTGCCATGTCTGATATGTGAACACAAAGGCGCTTTTAAGAGATGTCCACGCCCTCCTTTTTTAATAATGCAAATAAATGAAAGAGTCAAAGCAACCCAGCATTATGTTTGATTCTCCTAGTAATGCCCACGCTACTCCAGCAGCAGTCTTGTGCCTGCCACATTGAGTAATTTCAGCCTGCTTCACTGAGCAAGATAGATAAAGCATGTCATCTTTTCTTCTTGAGATTAGTTTTGAAAATATGTATTACCTCACGGAAATCTCTTAACGCATCTTGCCGTCTTGCCCTTCTTTCATCTTGTCAACAGAATTCCACTTTGGGTGGAATTTACCATGTTTATTTTCATGTTGTTACACTTAAGCAAAAACAACTTGAAAAAAAGGAAAAAACTGTACATTTTCCTCCCATCTAATTCTGGCTGGGCACGGTGGCTCATGCCTGTAATGTCAGTACTTAGGGAGGCCAAGGCAGGTGGAAAACCTGAAACCAGCCTGGCCAATGTGGTGAAACCCCATCTCTACTAAAAATACAAAAATTAGCCAGTCGTGGTGACAAGTGCCTGTAATCCCAGCTACTCAGGAGGCTGAGGCAGGAGAATTGTTGGAACCTGGGAAGCAGAGGTTGCAGTGAGCCAAGTTTGTGCCTCTGTACTTCAGCCTGGGCGACAGAGAGACTCCATCTTAAAAAAAAAAAATTGTTCACATAACTGCAGAAGCTTCATCTTTTCTTTGAACATCTTAAAATGTCACTTTATCAGTTTTTTATTTTGTTAATTTTGCTAAAACTGGATAGTATGTTCCATACAGCCACCACTATGCTCAAGGTATTTATTCCATTTATATTACTTTTTGTTACAAACCTAAAAGATAAGGCAATTTCTGAGTATTTAGATTAATGTGCTGTTTTGAGACAGTGATTTTTTTTTCAGAATTTGTCCTGGGAGGCACAGTTATGTGCCTATGCGGTATGTTTATCAGCCTTGCATCTTCATTAAAGACCCAGCTAACTGCGCTGTTACCTAGTATTTACCCTTCTTCGTATTCTTCAAAGAAGTGAAAATCTGGGGTAATTTTGATATAGAAAATCACTTTGTGTTTTAAGAAAGGAGGAAAAAACATCTGCAGTTGAAGTTCAGGAGTGAATTTGTAGCTCCATCTGCCGAAGGCCTCCATCCTGCTAGTTTGTCGGTATCTCCTGCCAGCTTGAGAGAAGTGCAGCCTGCCAGGCCTGACCTCAGGCTTGCTCCATTTCACATGTTCCAGCTGACTATCACAAGTGGGCAAGTTTGAGAAGCACTGGTCTGTGTGACATAATGCTCACAGGTTTGGATCAAGCTGTGATTAAGAATCAGACAGAGGTGTTTATTTCAGCAACACATGTACTAAAATTGGAACAATACAGAGAAGATTAGTGTGGCTCCTGTGCAAGGATGAGATGCAGATTCATGAAGCATCCCATATACAAATTTTCCTGCCACTTGTGATGGCTCATGCCTGTAATCCCAACACTTTGGGCTGCCAAGGCAGGAGGAGCACTTGAGCCCAGGAGTTTGAGACCAGCCTGGGCAACATAGTGAGACACCATCTCTATTAGAAAGAAAAGAAATTAGCTGGATGTCGTGGCACATGCCTGTAGTTCTAGCTGCTCAAGAGGCTGAGGCAGGAGGATCACTTGATCAAGAATTCAAGGTTGCAGGATGCTATAATTGCACTACTATACTCTAGGCAACAGAGCAAGACCGTGTTTCAAAAAAATAGAAAAAAGTACAGATTTTTAAAACCACACAGGACAATGAAATTTTTTAGGAATCTACATTTCTGTAGCCTTTTCATACCATGTAGAGATTGCCACCTTCCCAACTAGCCCCAGGATTTGTTTGTAGCATGTCTATGTTTTAGAATGATCTGTAGTTGGTCAAAGAAGTTTAGAAAAGCACAGAGTACAAATAGCTGGTGTTTGAAGGAAAAATTATATACATAGACAGGTTTATTTACATATCTAGCAGGAGAAATTAATTTCTTAGATCTGAGAGAAATGAAGGCATAAAAAGGTAGATTATATCTCATTTGTCCCACCTCCCCTAAATTGTATGTTATAGTAGAAGCATTGTCCATGTTAGGGACATGAAATTGGTAAGTTCATGTTTGTTCTCTTCCTAGCTTCAAAATCTATGCAAGAAGGCTGGGGCAGTGGTGGGGATGAAATGAACCTCAGTACCAGCCAGTGGGAGGATGAAGAAGGAGACGTGTGGAATAATGCTGCTTCCCAAGAAAGCACCTCCTCCTGCAGCTCCTGGGGGAACGCCCCCAAAAAAGGACTTCAGAAGGTAAATACAACACTCTTAAAGATGATATATGCCCTGAAAGCCAAAGGCACTTCAAACACATTCAGGATTCAGTGAAACAGATGAAAAGGTAGACCTGAGTTTCTCACAGTAGTCTCAGGGCCCAGAGATCCTTTCAAGGGATTAAGCAAGGTCACGGCTATTATCATGTCAGTACTAAGACTGTCTTTCTCATTTGATATCTGTCTCCAGTGTAGGGTGGAGGTGTACAGAGATCTTTATTATAGCAGAGAATCTGCAGAAACAGATAGGAAAATCGAGCCATTTTCTTTTAAGCCAAACATAGAGATTTGCCAGAAGGCAAAACAGTACCACTCTTTTCATGAAAAATTAATTATTGTTTATTTTTAAATGTTATGTTAATGTGCAATGGCTTTATTTTTAAACAAAATTAATATTTCTAAATTTTCTCAGTTTTAATTTCTAATACAGTAAATAGCAATAGACACAACTCACATAAACAAAAGTTCTTTGGGATCTTCAGTCTCTAAGAGAGTATTATAGAATATTGAGACCAAAAAGTTTGAGATAGATGGTTAAGAAGTCTTAAAACAAATGGGCAGGCCAGGGGGCAGTGGCCCATGCCTGTAATCCCAGCACTTTGGGAGGCCAAGGTGGGTACATCACTTGAGGTCAGGAGTTCAGTCCAGCCTGGCCAACATGGTGAAACCCCATCTCTACTAAAAATACAGAAATTAGCCAGGTGTGGTGGCAGGCACCTGTAATCTCAGCTACTGGGGGCGCTGAGGCAGGAGAACCACTTAAACCTGGGAGGCAGAGGTTGCAGTTGCAGTGAGCCAAGATCACCTCACTGCACTCCAGCTTGGGCAACAGAGCAAGTCTCCGTCTCAAAAAAAAAGACACAAATGGGCAGTCATCTAGAAAAAACTGAGATACGTATCTCATATATACATGAGATACAGGAGATGTGTATCTGTAGTTTTAATATTTTAAATATTAAAAATATTAAAATGTGGCCAGGCATGGTGGCTCAAGCCTGTAATCCCAGCACTTTGGGAGGCCAAGGCGGGTGGATCACGAGAGATCGAGGCCAGATCAACATGCTGAAACCCCGTCTCTACTAAAAATACAAAAAATTATCTGGGCATGGTGGCGCATGCCTGTAATCCCAGCTACTCAGGAGGCTGAGGCAGGAGAACTGCCTAAACCCAGGAGGCGGAGGTTGCGGTGAGCCGAGATCGCGCCATTGCACTCCAGCCTGGGTAACAAGAGCGAAACTCCATCTTAAAAAAAATATATATATATAAATATGAAAGACATTAAAAACAATTTTGGAGTCAGAGAGGCCTACAAATGACCAAAATCTAAAAGCCATAAAATAAAATTTTTTGTCAATAGACACAAATATAAAAACTGTACATGACAGAAAATACCATAATCAAAAGAAAAATAGCGAACTGGAAAAACATTTATAACTCATATCATGGAGAGGGCCAATCTCCCTGATATGTAAAGTCCTAGAAACTGATTTAAAAAAAAAAAAAAATCAGCCAGAAACCCAACAGAAAAAGGAGCACAGAATGTGAACAGTAGATGGTCCACAGAGAAGGAGCACTGATGGCTGCTAGACACAGGGACTCACAGGAAGGCAGTTCAGTTTCAAACAGCACTCAGAGATGCCTGCCATTTTTCATCTCTCAGACACGCCGAAAGCGAACATTTTTATTTTTTTATTTAAAAAAAATTGTTTAGAGATAGTCTTGCTGTGTCACCTAGCCTGGAGTACAACATTGAAGTCCTGGGCTCAAACTGTCTTCCTGCCTCAGCCTCCTGAGTAGCTGGGACTACAGTTACATGCCACTGTGCACAACTAATTTTATTTTTTATTTTTTCTATAGAGACAGTGTCTCACTTTGTGGCATTTATACAGTGTTGTATTGCAGCATTTTTGTAGTAAAAAGATAAAAATAGCTTAAACATACCTTGATAGAATAACCAGTTAATTACACTACTTCTGCGTTATGGAAAACTAAAAGGAAATTCTGTATATGTATTAATATGGAAAGATCACTAAAGTACACTGTTAAAAGATGCAGAAAAACATATATAACACACACCCAATTTTGTGGGGTAAGAGGAAGGAAATAAGTTAGTGTGTGTGTGCGTGTGTGTGTGTGTGTGTGTGTGTGTGTGCATGCATGCACACATAGTATATCAGCCTCTATAGAATGTTCTGAATTCTCTGGAAGGGCAAATAAGAAACTGCTATGAGTAGTTTCCTCTTGGAGAGAACAGGAACTAAGCAGTTTGGGTGGCATGAGATGAAAACTTTTTTTTATACCTTTTTTATGCTTTTGAATCATGTGAATGTATTCATGGTCAAAAAAATTTAGTTTAAAAAGCATTCAGTTAACCATCAGCAGAACCCAGAAACTAAAATCAGGGCTCTCTGCTCATGAGGAGTAGAAGTGATTATGGACCTCCAAAAGAATCCTTTTGATAGTTGGGCTGGCAGATAATCCAGTTAACGATGGGACCAGAAATACCTAATTGGTAAATTAAAATCTTGGCTAATCTGGCTCTGGCAGCGTAGTAATGATTAAAATACCCCAAAATAAGCTAGTTCCTTGAGGAAAGAAAACCCGTTTGTTTATAGAGCTTTATGTGATCCATTATATAGCTATGGCAGGCTCAATTTTGCAAAGTACTATGAGGAATATTTTTAGAAGGAGATTTTTTTTATATTGGAATAATGCTTCATTGGAACCTTTGCATTTATAGGCTCAGAGGGAAGTTGTTGAGAAGCCTCCTGGCTTCCCTGTGGTGCCGTGCCCTCCCCACCCCCACTGCTCTTTCTGTAGCTGACCTTTTTCCTCATCGTCTCCTCCACTGACATTTGCGTACTTATTCCTTTTCTCTACCCTATGAGCTACAAGGAACAAATAGTTAATAAAATTAACAGGTTTTTTCTTCCTTTGTTCTTGTTGCCTCTTTATTCATTGGAATAAACCCCCTCATTTTATCATTTTTTAGAATAAAGCTTATAAAAGGACAAAAACTGTGTAATTTTTAGTAAACACATAGGGCTCTGTTCAAGGGAAACTTAGTGAACTAAATTATCTGGGAAAGAAAAATATCCTGCTTTTTTTTTAAGTTCATAAATTGTACATATATACCAACCTGCAAATGTACCTTGATGCTTTCCATAGTAGAAACCATGAAATCTGTTAGGGAGTTTCTGGAGTACAACATTATTCAATGTTAATACAAAAAGATTAGGTGACTTTTAAATGACCTTGTTTCCCGTTTCTGGAAGAAATGCATTAAAATGTAGCTCATGGACTTTCCCCTTTCCCACACTGTGTTACAGGGCATGAAGACGTCTGGCAAGCAGGATGAGGCCTGGATCATGAGCCGGCTGATCAAACAACTCACAGACATGGGCTTCCCGGTAACTGGCATCTTAGTTTACTGCTACCTACCACGCTTCCCAGAATGAAATGCCCTGATAGCTTCCTCTCCTTGTTTGTTCTATGTGCTAAAAGACACCGAGAGCATTTGAGGAATGAGATACTGACATCATCTAACCCCTTTTTTGTTTGTTTTTGTTGGTTTGTTTGTTTTTTGACATCATCTGACTCTTAAATCTCCCTTTTACCTGGGTAGTTTGGGTTAGGGATCATTGCTTTGTACCACAGCAAAGACCCACATAACTTCTATCAAGAAAGGTGTAAGAGCCTTTTCCTAGACTAGAAAATGCAGTTTGTTGTTTTTTGGTTTTGAGATAGGGTCTTGCACTGGCACCTAGGCTGGAGTACAAGTGGCATGATTGGGCTCAGGCATTTTTCCTATCTCAGCCGCCTAAGCAGCTAGCGCACAGGCATACACCACCGTGCTCCGCTAATTTTTGTATTTTTGGTAGAAATGAGGTTTCACCATGTTGGCCAGGCTGGTCTTGAACTCCTGGGCTCAAGCAGTCTGCCCACCTCAGCCTCCCAAAGTGCTGGGATTACAGGCATGAGTCATTACGCTCAGCCATAAAATGCTGTGTGATTTTTAATTTTCATTGGTTTATACAGTTTTATATTTTCTTTTAATTTATAATTAAAAGTGCATTTCATTAGTGTATACAGTATATTGATCAAGATCACAAGAGAAAACTTGGTATAAAGTACTAAGGTTTTGTATCCAAAAAAAGTATCCTAACCAGACCTACTTAGTTCCCAAGATTCCAATCCTATGTAGGGATAATTCATATTGCAGGGCATTCTCCTGAAAATATCACAGTCTGTTCAGTTCCTGAGACTGGGTAGCAGTTAAGATGGCAAGGAATGTCACCCATATTCACCATATATTCCCTTCATGTTCCTTCTTTCAAAATCCTTATTCAAATGAGTGTTTGTCTTTCAATTACTGCGGATGTCCCTTAAAGAATGAGTCCAGAATGGCCTCCATATAGAGGAGGAACCCCATCCTTCACACTGGGCAAAGGCCCTCTGCATTGGGCAGGGCATTGTGTTAGTGGGCCAAGCTCTGCCCGTGTGAGAGGGCAAGAGGTTGACCGTGGCCTCAGGGTATCTTGATGTATACTGTCTCAGTTATCATGGCACCCTGATGTCTTCGATCATCCACTGAGATTACTACTGTGTTCCAGTCGTAAATTATCAAAATGAATCTACTTGTTTTGTTTTTCTGTTTCTTAGAAAAAAGTTGATGATGATAGAGTTGATGAAGTACAAAATGAAGCTCTGCACTCTGACAGTGACTGTCACAGTTGCTGGCACTAGAGAGAGGCATGGAGATGGAGCCTATCTCTACAAAAATAATACAGATAGTTATATTTTTTAAAAAAACGAAAATGACTTCAGGAGTACTGACAAGGTTTACTGTCACTCCGCATTTTGTTTCCAAGGTGTTGTAAATACAAGTTCTTTACTCTGAAAATCAAGTCAGTACATTTTATTGTTACAAGTATTTTTTAATTTAAAAGACATTGTCTCTAACCTCAACAATGAAGAAAGGTATTTCCAGTTGCAAACCTAATAACTGTGTCTTTAAGTAGTGATTAAACTATTTATAAACTTTCCTTTTGTTAATTAACGTGCACTAAAGAAAATTCTGTTTTCCTACACAGAGAGAACCAGCTGAGGAGGCCTTGAAGAGTAACAATATGAATCTTGATCAGGCCATGAGTAAGTTATACAACATATCTTTAAAAAGGTACCCAGATGTGAAGTTTTACTTTCCAGAACCATTTTATTGTAGTCATGGTTTAATGGTTGAAGATGTCCTGGTAGACAGGACCAGGCCACAGTGAAGGAGCAGCCACACAACAGGCTGGAGCCACAGAATGAGTGAGTCTCTTGGGACTAACAGACTTTGGAGACAAATGGCCAATGCCATATTTGAAGCATGGTGGCTTTTTTCATATTTTCCCATCTGTTTGGAGGGGAAGTAATAATGACACTCTGAGAGACACTGGAACCACACACCAGACTTCAGTGGACACTGAGTTCGTTCCTCGTGCCCTGCCCCAGAGTGGGCTTGCCTAGGGGCCAACAGAAGCATCACCTTGCTGGCTGAGCTCTGACTTACTGAGAGATGAGATTTTCTGTCAACGAACAAGCAACCCTAGTTCTGGAGCTGCTTTAAAAGTAATAATAATGTTAAATATTTATATTTAAATATAGTTGATTCTTATTTTATTGGTAGTTATATTCTATAAAGTCACCACAAACACCGAATTGACAAATACTGAACCAGTGCTCCTAGGAGACTTATTGGGTCGGCTTCCTATGAGCCTCTACTCATGTCATTTTTGTCAACCAATCAATATATAACCTTGTTTTATGTGTTTTTTATTTCAAAACACCTTATTTAACATTGATATATATTTCTCGGCTGGGTGCGGTGGCTCATGCCTGTAATCCCAGCACTTTGGGAGACCACAGTGGGCAAATCACTGGATGTCAGGAGTTCGAGACCAGCCTGGCCAACGTGGTGAAATTCTGTCTCTACTAAAAATACAAAAGAAATCAGTCAGACTCGGTGGTGGGCACCTGTAAACCCAGCTACTCCAGAGGCTGAGGCAGGAGAATCACTTGAACTTGGGAGGTGGAGGTTGTGATGAGCCAAGATCATGCCGCTGCCCTCCAGCCTGGGTGACAGAGTGAGACTCTGTCTCTGAGAGAAAAGAAACAAAAAAAAAATATGTGTGTGTGTGTATATATATATATATATATATATACACACACACACACACACACACACACATATATTATATATTTTTTTCTCTCACAAGTAATTATGTACCATATTCGTTAATACTAAAACATTAGCCAAGAAGGGTGTAACGTTTTTCTGACCCTGGGTAATGTGACCATAAATGTATTTGGCTTTCAGACTCATAACAATGCCATCCACTATACTTATCATCATCATCTCATGAATCCACAAATGTAGCCTCTTTTTCGTAGCTGTGTTACATGCCCAGCTGTTTCTTGAGTACTTTCTTAGCAGCCTCACATACAGGTCAGTGAATTTCTCTTCCTTTTTCTGGGTGTACCTTACCAATGATTCATAATCTTGAACTCAGAGCCAACAGTGCTTTTTAACTCATGCCTACATGAAACTTACCTGACACACAAATTTTCTCCATAAGGCACATCACTGCCTTTTTGAGCCTAGAAACATGAGATAGCACCTCAGCACCACAATGGGGGACCATTTTAAACACTAGAATCACTACAGAAAGCACAGAAATAGGAAAAGGATGACAGTAGATGGACCATAAAACGGACACTTCTTTATAATGTGAGATCTGAAGCTAGACCTGAGCTGGGAACACGAATGTTGGGTAACTCAAATTTTTGCCAGTCTGTCCACAAATAGCCACAAAAGTGCCACAGATATTGATTTGGGGGTTACAAATTTTAGCAAGCAACCAGTTTTACAAGTACAGAATTGATGAGTAATGAGAGTAGATTGCACACTGTCTAATCATTCACGTGCGACGTGTGGCACAAACTGCCAGGTGGGGCAGAGCAGCGCGTGCTGCAGGCAGTGAAGTCTCACTCCCTAGAACTGAAGTAGGAGAGTTACTATGGGCTAAATAAAGAAGAGCCGTGAGAACAGAAACAGGGTCTGTTTTGCACAGTATTGTATCCCCACCATCTGGAGGAGTCCTTGCAGATAACAGGACTCAGTGAATGGAAAGGCCTGGCCATGCAGTAGGAGAGAAGCTGCTGCAGACAGAATGGTCAGGAGGCCCCTGCAAAAAAGCCACCATGGAGCCCTCGTGAAATGAGGAAGCAAGCCATGTAGAAAACTCGGGGAGGGGTACATCCCCGGGGGGAGGACAGGCTGAGCCCCTGAGGGCCAGTTGTGGCTGGTGTGGCTGCTGTGGAGAGGGCCAAGAACAGCAGGGCCAGGTCACAGACTGCAGGAGCCATGGAATGATGTAGGGGGTCAGCCTCCATCCCCTCCCTGTGAATCCTTGTCAGCCCCTTGTTGGGCTCTGCCCTAGCAAAGCTAAGGGCTCTCTCTGCCCCTGGCTTCCCTATATTTGAAGGGGTGGAGGGTCTTCATCCCTCCTTGAGGCCTTAGCTGGTGCCTGTCTTGTGCTCAGCACTCACTTGTTTTGTTTTCAGCGTTGCTTCTGTTTGTTGTGCTCCAGGCGCTCTGCTGGAAAAGAAGGTGGACGTGGACAAGCGTGGGCTGGGAGTGACCGACCATAATGGAATGGCCGCCAAGCCCCTCGGCTGCCGCCCGCCAATCTCCAAAGAGTCTTCCGTGGACCGCCCCACCTTTCTTGACAAGGTATGAATTTAGGTGGTTTTTTTGTTTGCTTTTTTACAAGAGGAGTTTTTCATTTCAACTGTGTCCTTAATGCAAACCAGATTAAAAACTTGCTGGACTGTAATACTTAAGTGACTTTTATCTATTTTTTCCTAACATTATGAATGTTTAACTCAAAGAAGGGAATGTTGTATTTCATATGATGTTACTGAGAATGGAAAGGATGGATTGAAAACTGATTTTCATTTTTATTGTGTGAACTTGGTTGGTTATCTGCTTCAGTTTGTCCAGTGGGCAAGGGTCATCAAATTTCTATTTTGCTTTCTCATTTTAAAAACAGATCTTCTGTTTGGAAATGATGTGTTACCTGCTTTTCCTCAGGAAAAAGGATGGGAAGTGATGAGGCTTAAGCACCCATCTCTTGCTGGCCCTTGTCAGTTGGCCACACGAGTGACCACAGCAGTTGTCTGTGGAAAACTCCGTGGATGTTTAACAAGTCCAAGCACAGCTCAGTCCTCAGTGTTGTCATGTAATGATGTCCCCACCCCAAATTAGTGTGACTACAAAGCAAGGAAAGGCATTGCACTAAATTCAGTGCAAATGTTGAGCCTTGAAAATAACATTTAAAAAAAAAAAAAAAAACAGTGAAAGGAGGCCAGGTGCGGTGGCTCATGCCTGTCATCCCAGCACTTTGGGAGGCCGAGGCGGGTGGCTTATACTAAAAAATTACTTGCTCATCTGAAATTCCAGTGTAACTCAGCATCATATATTTTTATTTGCTAAATCTGGCAACCCTAAATTGGGACCCTGACATCTAAAATATGGAAGAATGCATAGGCTGGTTGTGTTGTTAGGTGAGATAAATTTGCAAAAGACCTGGCACATAACATGACCTCAATAGATGTAAAAAAAAAAAAAAAAAAAAAAAATTAGTAAGGTTCTGTTTTATAACTTACTTTTAGAAGTCACCCTCTTCTTAGATTACATCCTATGAAACTGCTGTGTTTGTAGGTTAAAAAAAAAAAATGTCCTAGAATTCAACCTAATGTATTCCTAGAGCTTTGCTAATAACTTCTCAAAAAGAGTCTATTTGAAAATGGTTGTAAAGCGCTTGCCATATGAGACTTGCCAGTGCCTCCATCCTTCCTCCTTGCTCCTACCCCAGGCAGGGCCAATAGTTAGAATAGTAGCAGCAAATATATGTGCTTGTAAAATACTTTTAAACTGAAAACAGCATCTTAATCTTATTTCTCTTTTTCTTTTTCCCCTCTTCCTTGTGCCCATGTTCTCCATTCCCTTATCCACTCTTTTTTGATCTGTTAATTATTTCTCCATCCATGCCTCCTCTATTTCCTCGGGAAACTGTTTGGTGCTTTGTTTGCTGATGGACACTGCACCCAGCTCACCCTTTCTTTCTCCAATCAGGATGGCGGTCTCGTGGAAGAGCCCACGCCTTCACCGTTCTTGCCTTCCCCAAGCCTGAAGCTCCCCCTTTCACACAGTGCACTCCCCAGTCAGGCCCTGGGTGGGATTGCCTCCGGGCTGGGCATGCAAAACTTGAATTCTTCTAGACAGGTAAGGCTGTTGGGAGAAAGCAAAATGTGGCCTTTGTTTTACCTGCCTTTAAAAAAATTGTGTTTGAGACATAAACTTTCTTGTTCGTAGTTAATACCTCTATTTTAAAATATGACTGAAAATGTACAGGTAGTTGAGATACTACCAGGATTTCTCTTCAGGTGACTGGAGTTGAAGAGTTGAAGTAGGAAATGCTTTAGTTATATTTATTCTTACATTTAACCATGTTTGACTGTCAGCACCCTTGGTGCTAACTTGGTTGAAGTGGTGATGTGTTGCACAGTGGTCTTTGGCTGCCAGATCCATCCAGGGGTCCGGGTAGTGCCCAGCCTCTTCCCTCCTGGCAGCCAAAACATTCTATCTGTTGATCTGCAAGAAAGCACTGCGTTCTCCCCCTTTTTCCCAGAAATAAAAGATGACAGCTCTTGCTAAGTGGTTGTCAGGAATCACACTGGCATTTTTTTCCAGGCTTCAGCACTCTTTGGGTAAAGGTGGAGATTAGTTACTAAAGGAAGGACGGAGAGTGTTGTTTGCCACTTCCTCTCACTTTTCTCATGTGGACTCCTACATGAAATGTGCAAACACACAAATCATCCTTTCCCATGGATAGAAGATCCCTTTTCTCTGATTTTCTTAGGGATGAGGTTGACATGCACACCTCAGAGACATGTCTCTAAGTAGACATTGTGAGATGTGGGCAGCCAAATAGCCTCTGTGTGCCCATTGTCCCGGTGTTGTTAGCAGCAGTGCCCCTTCCACTCACCAGTGCCCAGCTGGTATGATCGTGGTGATCTGACATTGCCTGCCCCCCCGGTGGTGGTACAGTGAGATGCCAGCTTAAAGTCAGCAACCCCGCTAGGGTGTGCACTGGAGTTAGGTTCATAGCAGGGGGTCTCGCCCAGTGCCTTTCAGGCGGCTCTTCCCAAGTGAAGCTATGGAATACCTTCCCTCACCTGTTTGTTAGGTAACTCATTACACAAGAGTAAAAACTACAGCTACCATATATTTATCATAGTTAATACAAAATTAACTGCCTGAATCTGTCCGCTTATTCCATTTCAAGGCTTGTTGAAATAATAACTGTCTTTCCTGTCTGAAATGTTGCTATCCTCTGAGATTAGTGATCCCCACACATTATTACTCTCTAATTTTTACCACATCCTTTTGGAAATGTATATTATCCAAATAGCCATATTCATATTGCTATTGTGTGTGAAACATTGTATGTTGGTAGTTTCTTGGAATGGTGTAGCCTTCTTGTTGTGTAAACAATGCTCATTAAAAATTCACTTGGCGCCTGGCAAGGTGGCACATGCCTATAATCCTAGCACTTTGGGAAGCTGAGGTGGGTAGATCACCTAAGGTTAAGAGTTTGAGAGCAGCCTGGCCAACATGACAAAACCCCATCTCTACTAAAAATACAAAAATTAGCCTGGCATAGCAGCAGGCACCTGTAATCCCAGCTACTCAGGAGGCTGAGGCAGGAGAATCACTTGAACCTGGGAGGTGGAGGCTACAGTGAGCCAAGATCACTCTACCACACTCCAGTCTGGGTGACAGAGCAAGACTCTGTCTCAAAAAAAAAATCTCTTGTAAATTAATCGGGCATGGTGACACACACCTGTAATCACAGCTACTTGGGAGGCTAAGACAGGAGAATCACTTGAACCCGGGAGACAGAGGTTGCAGTGAGCCGAGATCATGCCACTGCACTCCAGCCTGGGCAACAGAGCAAGAATCCATCTCAAAAAAAAAGAAAGAAAGAAAAAGAAAACCACTTTGGTCAGGTACAATGGCTCACGCCTGTAATCCCAGCACTTTGGGAGGCTGAGGTGGGTAGATCACTTGAGGTCAGGAGTTCGAGACCAGCCTGACCAACATGGAGATACCTCGTCTCTACTAATAATAGAAAAATTAGCCAGGCCTGGTGTCACATGCCTGTAATCCCAGCTACTCGGGAAGCTGAGGCACGAGAATCACTTGAATCCCAGAGGCGGAGGTTGCAGTGAGCCAAATTGAGCCATTGCACTCCAGCCTGGGCAACAAGAGCAAAACTCTTGTCTCAAAAAAAATAATATAATTCTCTTGGGTATAAGTTGACAGTAATAGGAAGTAGAAACAATTTTGCATTCACTTAGAACAGATCACTTCGCCCTACCTCTATACAGTGTTATTCTAAATGTCTGCCTTGAATGTGTCTGATTCTGTCTCTACAGATAACGAGTGGCAATCTGGGTATGTTTGGCAATAGTGGAGCAGCACAAGCCAGGACCATGCAGCAGCCGCCACAGCCACCAGTGCAGCCTCTTAACTCTTCCCAGCCCAGTCTCCGTGCTCAAGTGCCTCAGTTTCTATCCCCTCAGGTCAGGCGCACATCCAAGCAGTACTGTGCAGCAGGATGTAGATGCCGGCATTTTGTGGGGTCCTGTGTTACCTAGAAGTCACTATTTTAAAGTGAGACCTGACTTAAGCCATGTTTAAGAGAAGGCCTTCTGGTTTTGAACCTGTAAATTACTTTTAGACTATAAAGTAGTAAACTGATTCTCCTGACCCAGGAGACATTTTCAAAGCTTTCTCCTTGGAATGTCTCAGCCATCCAAACCAGCATTTGGGGTCTTTCTGGTCAGAAGCAATATTGAGGGGGAAGGGCCTGCACAGCACACTCCCATTGATGTGTTTTTGTCCCAGTCTTTCTAGAAAATTATTTTAGATGAACCCAGTGACTGTCCTAGATTGGTGGGAGAGGAAAGTGCACACCTGTAGTGTTGCTGAGGATGTTCCCTAAGAGGCAGCCAAGGACTGAATCATGCTTTAATGAGGAACTAAATGTCATCTTACATAATAGTATATATATTACAGATTTTTAGTTATGTTTAATATTCATATTTAGTTATGTTTAGATCATTTTTGCCCATAGAGTTTTGTTGTTGTTTTTTTTTTTTTTTCCCCCCTTTCTTTCATCCCTTTTCAGGAATAAACCGTAGAGATTATTAAGAAAAACGGTTACTGGGCAAGGCAGTTCAGTAATCCCAGCACTTTGGGAGGCCGAGGCGGATGGATCACCTGAGGTCAGGAGTTCGAGACCAGCCTGGCCAACATGGTGAAACCTCGTCTCTACTAAAAATACAAAATTAGCCAGGTGTAGTGGTGCATGTCTGTAATCCCTACTTGGGAGGCTGAGGCAGGAGAATCGCTTGACTCTGGGAGGAGGCGGAGACAGCAGTGAGCCAGGATCATGCCATTGCACTCCAGCCTGGGCAACAAGAGCAGAAACTCCGTCTCAAAAAAAAAAGGGGGGGGGGGGGGAAGGTCAAATCAAATTGAGGAAAAGGATATTTGCTGTTTTGTATACCTTGAGGCCTAGTATATATCAATTGTTAATATTGTTTATTTTGGGCACATTTTATAATTTTAGATTTTGGACTACGTTTTTAATTACAGTGTTAGTTCTTACCCCTTATAAGATCCTTGATAATCTGTGATATTAACAACATCTTTACTGCATGGGGTAACTCAGGGCTCTAACTTGATACATGATTCTGGTGTGAAGGTTGACTAGAGCCCTGCCCTGAGAGAGCAACAGCATCTTGAAGTACTTACTGTATTCTAGCTTCTAGCAGAGAGGAAAAAAACTGCCTTCTTCCCCAAGAGACCTCTGTTACCAGGAAGATAGTTAAATTTCTGAGGGACCTTATTTTCAACTTGTTCCAAAAGAGAACATGTTAATTCATCAATCTTCTATTATTCATAAAATTTAATTTAAATATGTTTAGTTTGTTGGAATATGGAGGCTGAGAAGTCCAAGATCAAGGCGCCAGAAGATTCAGTGTCCGGTGAGGGCTCGTTTCTCATAGATGGCAATTTTTATGCATCCTGATGTGGTGGAAGGGGCAAACAAGCTTCCTCAGGCCTCTGTCATTGGGGTGCTAATCCCATTCATGATGGGGCTCCTGATCACCTCCCAAAGGCCGTAGCTCTTAATTCCACCACAAGGTTTAGGTTTCAACACAGGAATTTTGAGGGGACACAGACATTCAAACCATAGCATATGGGAAGGCAGTGCTAGCATACGATAAAGAGCAGGATGCGCTGGCACTGCACTGAGGGTAAGTCTCATTCTGTCTTGGTTTGAACCCAGGTTTGTGCACTGAGTTGATAGTGCACACTATCAATGTAACTAATGCATTTAACTATTGTCAGGTAATAAGATAATAGATAACAAGATAAGATGCAAGTTATCTTAGTAGATAATAATTAAATGTATTAGGATATAGGATAAGCTGCTACAACAAAGAGCCCTCAAAAAACAGTAGTTTAACTAGGTAGACATTGAGTGCTCTCAAGTTACAGTGCAGAGGAAAGCAGTGCAGGGATTGGTGGCAGCTCTGCCACAGCCACTTCCCAGCAACAGGGAAAAAGGCATCACCATTGTGCGGGTGGCTTTGAAATTGCACAGACCACCTTTGGTAGCATCCCACTGCCCAAACCTAGGTCACAGCTGCACCCAGTCTGAGAGCCGATAGCAGAACAAGCAGTTAGCAGTCTTCCCCACACAAAGCAAACCAGCGTGTCCCAAACGGCAAGGCATCTGTGTGCCATCTCACTGTTTCTCCCATATCTCCATGTTACGTGTAAGTACTGATAGGAAGGACACAGAATCTTGGAAAGTTCATTTATAATTAAAATATCTGGAGGAAGAGATCTCTGAAGACTTTCCTTCCTTATCTTCTTTCTTCTTCCTTTCTTTCTTATTCTTCACCTGCTAACTACTAATGTTAAAATGTCCATACATTTTGTTAATGGCCTTGTGACCTTTGAACTTAATTCTCTCACAAAACCCCAGTCGAGTATAGCTGGTGTGGCCTAATAATTCTTAGAAGTTTTATAACTTCACATAATCTTAATTGTCCTTTTTATTTTCAAACAGTCTTACTGATTTCACCCGTGAAACAAATATAATTATCACTCAATTAGTCAGTTTTGAATTTTGAAAAACTACATGAACAAGTAACTATTTAATAGAGATACAGTGGCTAATAGTATATTTTATGTTAAACAGGTTCAAGCACAGCTTTTGCAGTTTGCAGCAAAAAACATTGGTCTCAACCCTGCACTATTAACCTCGCCAATTAATCCTCAGCATATGACGATGTTGAACCAGCTCTATCAGCTGCAGCTGGTAAGTGGATAGATGCATGCAAATTAGAATGTGAAGCCTGAGTGCTCTCCTGGTGCCCGTGCAGATCCGCCAGCATGGCACACCACTGAGAGCAGCAGTTACGATAACGTTTGTCTTCACATCAGGGATGTCATTGAGACTCTCATGAAGTGTTTAAACTCTTCATGATTTAGGAAGTTCTCACTCAAAAGTGTCTTTACTAAGTTTTGTCAATTTTTTGGCCTTTCGTTCTGGTTTTTGTTTAGAGGCAGTATCTCACTCTGTTGCCAGGCTCGTCTGGAACTCCTAGACTCTAGGGATCCTCTCACCTCAGCCTCCTGAGTGTCAAGACCATGATGTACACCACTGCACATGGCTTGGCCTCTTCAGAAAATCAACCAGATTTTATAATTAGGCATGTCTTTTTATTTGAGCTCTCAGCCAGAGTTTCTGACAACCGCTGAACACAAAAAAATCATTTGAGTGACTGTTTTTTCAATTTTTCTAAGGATGTTTTACACAAATACCATTCTAGAAGCATAGGAGAAAAATTGCTTTATTATATATAGTAGTTGCCTGAGAGCATTAGAACTTAATTCTCTCTCAAAGCCCCAGTCAAGAATAGCTGATGTGACCTAATAATTCTTGGAAGTTTTATAACTTCACATAATCTCGATTGTCTTTTTTTATTTTCAAACAGTCTTACTAATTTTACCATAAATTGCCATGTCACTGTATATCTAGATGCTTACTGGAATTATATACACTAAAGGACCACGTGTATTATTTCATTCTTTAATGCAGTCACCTGATTTATTTAGCAATCTTAGCCAGCAACTTTATTACCTAGAAAATGACCAGAAATTGGCTCGGCACAGTGGTTCATGCCTGTAATCCCAGCTCCTTGGAAGGCTGAGGCAGGAGAATCACTTGAACCCATGAGGCGGAGGTTGTAGTAAGCCTCGTACCATTGCACTCCAACCTGGGCAACAGAGCAAGACTCCATCTGAAAAAAAGAAAAGAAAATGACCAGGAATCATGAAGGAAGAAAAAAATAAAGAGTGGGGGCTCTGAAAGAAAGAACCATTGACATAAAATCTTTTCTAATAAGAGAGTACTTGAGCCCTCAGTCCTTCCCCTTTGCTGATTTTTAGACACGTGTCCAATAAGTTTGAGGTCTGGCTTTTCTGTAAGCAGCAGGGAAGGATAGAAGGAAGGAGGGAAGGACATGCCTGAAGACACGTGCTATGTGTCCTGGCCTTAGTGGAGAGCACAAAGCTCTAGACATGGGGTCAGGACCAAGGGTTGGCCCTCAGAGACTGTTTTTTCTTTTCTTTTTTTCCGACAGTCTTGCTCTGTCATAGGCTGGAGTGCTGTGGTGCAGTTGTGCAGTTTCGGCTCACTGCAACCTCTGCCTCATGGATTTCAGCAATTCCCCTGTCTCAGCCTCCCACGTAGCTGGGATTACAGGTGTGCGCCACCATACCCAGCTAATTTTTGTATTTTTAGTAGAGATGGGGTTTCCCCACGTTGGCCAGGCTGGTCTCGAACTCCTGACCTCAGATGATCCACCCGCCTCAGCCTCCCAAAGTGCTGGGATTACAGGTGTGAACCACCACTCCCAGCCAGAGACTTTTTTTCATCTACCGGAAGAGAGGCGGTGCTATAGTTAGGACTCGCAGTGGGTAGGCTGTGCACATGTGCAGTCCTGTTGCTTTCGGTCCTGACAGCTGGAGACCACTGACCTCTAAAGGAAAGGAGACCGCTCTGAAAACAGGCACACAGAAAAAGTATGCAGGTTTAGAACTGTTACTGTAGAGGAAGATCACTTTCTGCCGCTTGATGACACTGCAGGCATTGCTATACAGAACTAATTATCATACTGCTGTGTTAGAATAATTTAGTTATACAGTAAGTTTTTATTCCTGTGGTGTGAAGGACATCAAGAAAATGTTGAATTACTATTAGTGTGTTCTGATTTTAAAACAATGTATTCCGTTCTTAAATTTTTTTCCAGAAAAGTTGAAAAAATAAAGTTTCAGTGCTTCCTAAGGTTAAGTTTTAGGGCCAATGAGGATTCACTTAAGTGAGGTATTTTATTCCTCCATGATTACAAATTAATGAGGCATTTCTAATAGTATAATCTCTACCTTTATTTGGATACTATTTAAATGAGTTATCTTACCAAAAATGTCCCCAAAATTTATGTTGTAAGAAAAAAAATTACGATATTCAACCAACATTTCAAAACAGTCAAGTGATCAAAGCTTCTGTGTCTGTCAGTGTACAAAAGAATATCATTATAACTTTAACCAACTTTGTAGGTGACAAGTTTATGTGACAGAAGTGCTCACAGATCTGTATTTCATATCTGTCTCTTAGCTTTCATTCCCATGACATGATAGAGAGAATCACGCTGTTGAATGCACATTGCTTTTGGATGCTACTACCAGTGTTCTGCCACATTGTCTGGGCTGTCCTAGACTTCAGTCTTCATCGTTATAGAATAGGTGTTTTTTTGTTTTTTTTTTTTTTTTTTAAGTTTCAGTTTGTATGAATCAAGCAGAAGAATTTTGATCTCTTCATTAAATGAAAAATATTTGCTGACCAACATCATTACCAACACTAAATGGATATTGACTCTGATTTTTTTAAATCCTGTACCCTAAAAAAGTTTTGATAAGACATTGATCTTTTAAAAGGGCTCTGTACCTCCAGAATATGTGTCAGCCACAATCTGGTCAGAAGGCTAAGAAGTGTGTGGCTAGGTTCTTTTTTTTTTGTTAATTTTTTAACTAATGTCAGAAAGTTGAACCATTAGTTCAGCTTACACTTAATTCTTATACTCTTTTAACTCTTCTTTCCGTCAACAGGCATACCAACGTTTACAAATCCAGCAGCAGATGTTACAGGCCCAGCGTAATGTGTCCGGATCCATGAGACAACAGGAGCAGCAAGTAGGTGTTACCCAGATTCATTTTTGTCATGAGCTGTAATTTTCCCTGATAGAAGAGATGCTAATTGATGAACTCTCAGATGATCGTTGATTTTTCTCTAGCCAAGCCTTCCTTTGAAAAGTCCTGAGTTCAAATACAAAGTCCTCAGCCTAAATACAGTGAAGAATGCACTTGGTCCCTGGACAAGCATGAGTATCCCTTCCCACCCTGATTAACCACCTGTGTCTGCCTACCAGGTTGCGCGCACAATCACTAATCTGCAGCAGCAGATCCAGCAGCACCAGCGCCAGCTGGCCCAGGCCCTGCTCGTGAAGCAGCCACCGCCGCCGCCACCCCCGCCGCACCTGTCTCTGCACCCCTCTGCAGGCAAATCGGCCATGGACAGCTTCCCCTCACACCCCCAGACTCCCGGCCTACCTGACCTGCAGACCAAAGAGCAGCAGTCTTCACCCAACACCTTTGCTCCTTACCCTCTTGGTGAGTGTCCAATGGTCTTCAACAGCTGCACCAGGTAGAGAGCATGCCCAGAGTCCATGTGTAGTGGCCAGGGCTGCACTTCAGTGTTAGGAGGGCTGGCCAGCACTGAAACCACAGCCTGTTAGAAGGGCAGCCCCAGACAAAATCAGAGAACAGGCATCTCAAGGCTTTTTAATTTAAAAAAATTATTTTTAATTTTTTGGAGAGATGAGGGGGGTCTCACCATGTTGCCCAGACTGGTCTCAAACTCCTGGGCTCAAGCAGTCCTCCAATCTCGGTCTCTTAAAGTGCTGGGTTTACAGATGTGAGCCACAATGCCCAGCCTCAAGGATTTTTAATAAGGGAACAATACTAAGTACATTCTATAGAGCAAGAGTTTTGCTGCTGTCATATTACTGTCAGTATAAAATCTTTAAAGCTAGTACCAGTGAGAACCCCCAAAATCTCATTTCCATTGTCAAATCTGCAAAGTTTGCTCCATTCCTGGTTTACCCTGAACTGTACTTTACCAGCCACTGTCTTCCAGCCTAAACTGCAGAGAAGACTTTATCATGGTTTGGTCAATAAAAGTACTCAGATTTACGTTAAAAACACTTCTTAAAAAGCAGTGGTTGCTGGTACAACTCAGTTTTGTATGGAATGTGATTTGTATAATCGACCAAATCAACATATGTACGTTGAAATCTAACTTGTAGAAGCACACTCATTTACATGAAACCTGCAGGTGAGTATAAGACATGGTGCCCAGCCTCAGGGTCAGGCCAGCCAGGAGAGACACAGCTCACCTATCGAGACCAGCCTAGTCAACATAGTGAAACCCGTCTCTACTAAAAATACAAAAATTGGCCTGGTGTGGTGGCATGTGCCTGTGATGAATACACCAGAGGCTGTAACTTAGTAAATTGATTCTGCATGGATTCATTTGCTGTAAGAATTCAGATGTCAGTGAAAGCACTTTAGGCTTGTCTGTTGATTGCTATTGGAATCCGTAGACACACAGGACAAAGGGAATCAGTAGCTTGGAAAATACATCTCTAAAGGGACCAAGGCCAGTTAAGTGATAGTGAATTTGCTACCAGCAGATAATACTCACGTATCTAATACTATTCAATGTCTCTGAAAAGAGCAGTAGATTCTAATCATATGAATACTTTTTACTTAACATATTATAAATGTGGTATATATATTTAATATGAGATTGATAAATACTAGACTTGATTATCTCGTTCCTTAATTCGTATCTCATCCATTAGCACCCTTTGTGTCTAAGTAGGTAAGACCTGACTTAGGAATTAGACTGCCTAGGTTCGAGTACCAACTCTCCACCAACAGGCTCACTGCTAACTTTAGCAACTTACCAACTGCTATTTGCCCTCAATTTCTTTCTTTCTCTCTCTTTCTTTCTTTCTTCTTCTTTTTTTTTTTTTTTTTTTTTTGGTAGAGGCAGGATCTTTCTCTGTTGTAGGCAAGTCTCAAACTCCTGGACTTAAGTGATCCTCCCTAAGTGTTAGGATTACAGGCCTGAGACACTGTACCCAGCCATACCTTAATTTCTTCATCTATAATGTAGAAATACTTAACTCATAGGGTTGTTTTAAAGATTAAATGAGCTAATATGTAAAGTTATCTTTTTTTTTTTTTTTTTTTTTTTGGCTGGAGTGGCGCAATCATAGCTAACTACAGCTTCAAACTCCTGGCCTCAAATGATCCTCCCAGCCTCAGCTTCCCAGAGTGCTGGGATTGCAGGCATGAGCCAGCACACCTGGCCTGGTATGTAAAGTCCCTAAATGGTGCCTAGCACATAGCAAATACTTTGTAAAATGTTAGCTACTTATGTAAGCCCTTCTGTTATAGAAACAAATTTTATTCCACCTATTACCCTAAAATGTGTTAGCTTCAGATTTCTAGTATTCAGCTATCTTCTTAACCTATATTTGGAGAAAAAGGACACATATCTTTACCTTTTTTTTTTTTTTTTTTTTTTTTTTTTTTTTTGATGGAGTCTTGCTCTGTCACCCAGGACGGAGTGCAGTAGTGTAAACTAAGCTCACTGCAATCTCCACCTTCTGAGTTCAAGCGATTCTCCTGCCTCAGCCTCCTGAGTAGCTGGATTACAGGCATGCATCACCACGCCCAGCTAATTTTTGTATTTTTAATAGAGACTGGGTTTCACCATGTTGGCCAGGCTGGTCTGCAACTCCTGACCTCAAGTGATCTACCTACCTAAGCCTCCCAAAGTGGTGGGATTACAGGTGTGAGCCACCATGCCCAGCCACTTATCTTTACTCTTCAGGATTTTTTCTCTTAGTACAAGTTAAAGAATTCATGCAGTGAATCTTCAAAATTAGATGAAAAATAATTTGGATAATATTTTATAATCACAGTAAAGTTATAAATGTATCAAAAACAACTAATTAAGTATAGGAAACTTTGGCTGTAAAATTGTCTATCTTGTTGACTCTCAGCATTTCTCTGCACCAGCACCTATGTTGAAGAGCCTATTAGAAACTCAGCAATTCATGAAAAGAAGCCAGCAGCCCATGGTCAGCAATGGGGGCTTCCAGCTACCTTCCTATACTCACATTCAGCCTATCCTTGTTATTTTCAGTCTTTTGCCACCTGGAGTTCATCATCTAGATGGAAAGAGTAGGCATATAAACAGGAAAAAATAGCCTTGATACCAGTGTGCTGTGATTCTTACAGGGCTCTAGAGGAGGAAAAGTTCACTTTCACTTTGAGTGGTGAAAGAAAAATCAGAGAATAGGATTTAAGCTTGAACCTCAGATCATTAGATAGGATTACAATAAGTAAAGAGAAAGTCTTTCCAAATAAAGGGGAAGCCTTACACAGGAGTACAGAAGAAAAAGGCCTGGCCTGTTTCAGGAGTCCATTTTGCAAGGGCCAGGCCAATCTAGTGACTTAATCAGAAAGGGAAGTTGGGAGAGATGGGTTAGGGCCAAATTGTGTAATTTGGAGCATTCTGAAGGCCAGGTTGAAGCCCTGACATTATTGCCACCTTACCTGACTAGATCTGTATAAGCTGAAAGCAAGAGAACCCATAAAGCAGAGGTTGCACGTAGGCAGCCCCTTGGCACTGTTGGACTGACTTGCAAAGGTGTTCTATTAGGTCTGCAAAGTCTGTGTGTGCGCATGTGCACATACGTATGTTAATTGCCAACATTAAAAAATTGGGGCAAATGGCTTCTGACGTCTCTTAAAAATGGCTGTAGGCCATTACAGTGGCTCATGCCTGTAATCCCAGCACTTTGGGAGGCTGAAGCAAGCGGATCACGAGGTCAAGAAATTGAGACCATCCTGTCCAACTCGGTGATACCCCATCTCCACTAAAAATACAAAAAAAAAAAAATAGCTGGGCATGGTGGCACGTGCCTATCGTCATAGCTACTCGGGAGGCTGAGGCAGGAGAATCAGTTGAACCCAGAAGGTGAACATGGTTGCAGTGAGCCAAGACTGTGCCACTACACTCCAGCCTGGCGACAGACCAAGACTCTACCTTAAAAAAAAAAATCTTTTAGCTATATACCAGGTACCAGGAAAAAGAAAAAAATGGCTGTAGTTGGGTCTATGTTCCATGTAGCAGTAAGTGATTGGCCCCAGTAGCACCTATTTATTGAGACTGGACAGACACTGTCTGGTTGGCCACAGTCCCCATTAGGCCCACTTCTTCATGTGCATGGCCCACTTGGCTCCTATGGGCATTTGAATTTGCAGCCTCTGAAATAAAACTAAGAATCCGAATGTTCAGCACCTGGCTTAGTAGTAGAGGCTCACTGTGCTTACTTACCGTGTGGCGTAGTTGTGCATATGGTAAGGATATATGGGGTATGTATATGTGGTAGGGGAACTACAGCTGTAAACACAAGGAGAGAGTTCGCTCCTGCTGGTTATTCCCTTTTAAACAGGCAATCTGTCCTGCTCCAAACAAGTGAACTCTTCAACCTTTTTATCATTGTCCTCCTCATCATCTTTCTTTATTAATCTAGCTTAGTGAGTGCAGGTCCTAGACATATAACCAAGTACCTGCCTTTGGCTGTAAGAAATGAGCCCAGAAGCCTCAGCTCAGCATCCCAGCTGGGGGCAGATGGCAGCACCCACCCTCTCAAATAGTTCAGTTCCTTAAACGTAGTTTGATATTTAATTCACAAACTCTTTCAGGGCAGGCTAAAGTACTCACTAAAGGTAGAACTGAATTTTCCTATCAGCATGCGTCCTAGGTGTATTTGACTCCTATCAGCATGTGTTAAGAGTGTTTTTGACTTGATGAGTTTCCATAAGATACCCCGAAACCAGGAAAGATATTCCTGATAGTTTGGACTTTTTCTGTTTTCTTGTGGCCTCTGAGAAGCCTCAGGACCATGTTTATGTATCACTGAAACAAATAAATTGAAGAGAATCATGGGTCTCACTTAAAAGACTCTTTGCATTTTCACCTTAATTTAGGAATAGTGTTCCTAGAAATACATGTTATTATGAAGATAAAAAGTATTTTTTCCACCAGCACTAAAAGTTACAGTTAAAATATTTGGTTGTAAGTGAAGACTGAAATAGCTTCTGTAGGAGAGCTTTAGAACGAAGCCATTTAGAGGAACAGGTGAATCCTAATCACATCTCTCTCTTTAGCTGGACTGAACCCAAACATGAATGTCACCAGCATGGATATGACAAGTGGCTTGTCGGTGAAGGACCCATCCCAGTCCCAGTCACGCCTCCCCCAGTGGACGCACCCCAACTCCATGGATAGCTTGCCCAGCGCCGCCTCCCCCCTGGAGCAGAACCCTAGCAAGCGTGGTACGTCTGAGCTAGGACGCCTGTGGTGGGATCACTGCTGGCTTATTAATCGATCATCCTATTGTGTAGTGTGCCCATTCTATACTTTTCTAAGAATTGAGTGCTGACAGTTAGATTTAAAATAATCCATTCCATTACAGTGCACCTAAGATCTCAGCTAGTCAGTGATCAGACTTGTTAAAACCCAACCATTAGATCTCAGCTACAAACCTAGAAATAGTTTGAAAACCCAGAGCAGCAAAGAATCTAGGTCATAGCCTGTGTACTTTTTTTTATATATCTGTATTCATCAACAAAAAACTTGAGTCTGCTGAAATGTCTTCAATAAAATGGTAAAACACAAATAGAAAATCAAATATACAGTATGGCAACTGCAGCTGTAAATACTAGGGTGCATTTCTATTGGTTATTCCCCTCGATCCAAGCAGTCTGTCGTACTCCAAACTGGTATCCCCGTCAGGAACTCTTTACTGGTGGACACACCAGTAAGGTGGAAGCAAAAATGCTAACTCTAGGAGGTCATCTCACTCTCAAGCATTAAATTTAGCTCTGAGCTTCCTTGTAGAATAAACAGCAAAGACAATTCAGTAGGTTATGTAGTTCTCTCTTGATACAAAGCATTCTAAGAAGAAAAAGGAAATTATATCTCACAGTTACCATATGGAAAATCATCACACACTGCCGGCACCTTTCTTAGGAGGGCTCTGCTGCCTGCAGCTGGTTGGTTTGGTTACATGTTAATTTTTGACATCCACTCTGTTCTTCCATAGTGAAGGTTTCAGACTAAAAGGAGGGAAGAGATAACAGCAAATTTGACAGCTAACCACAAAAACTCCTAAGTTGTCCCCAAAAAGGTTTATTAAGGGCAGCTTTCCATGGTATAGATATGTATTTTACGAAGATTTCCAACTGGACAAACTAAATTGTTCTTCAAGGTTTTCAGTCTTTGAGGGCTGAAATTTGAGCTAACTGAAATGGTCACTGGCCAGACAATGGTGGCTCACACCTGTAGTCCCAGCTTCTTGAGAGGCTGATGTGGGATGATTGCTTGAGCCCAGGAGGTTGAGGCTGCCGTGAACCCTGATCACACCACGACACTCCAGCCTGGGCAACAGAGCGAGACATTGTCTCAAAAAAAAAAAAAAAGTAATTGATTCTTAGGGAATCCTAGACAGACCAAGTCTTCCAATTCATATAACCAAATAGGGCAAGGCATTTAACCTAGAACAGAGGTGCATAGGGAGGTCGAGGGTATCTTCTGGTGTCTCTCAAGTGGAGGTATTCACTCGGTTCTTTGTTTCCTCTTGTCCCCATAGGTGCTATCCCTGGAGGTCTAAGCATTGGGCCTCCAGGTAAGTCCTCCATTGATGACTCCTATGGCCGGTACGATTTAATCCAGAACAGTGAGTCACCTGCCAGTCCTCCCGTAGCTGTTCCCCATAGCTGGTCACGTGCCAAATCTGACAGTGATAAAATCTCAAATGGCTCTAGCATCAGCTGGCCCCCAGGTAAGACCATGCAACACTTCTGTGCAACAGCAGCAGGTCAGAACGTGTTCCAAGCCTGCAGAGAGTGATTAGGCTGAGAGGACCCAGAATCTGAGCTAAGGATCTGGAATTGTTAAGCCCAGAGCTTTGGGATTTTCCTTGGAAATCCATTTGTCGGAAAAATTTTGGGTATGGTTAGCATCAGGCATTTTTCTGTAATCCCTTAGTTTGACATGAGGAGTGGAAGGGGTGGCAGGGAGGAAGCACATTGTATACCATCTAGTAAAACTATTTCGACCTGTGTGAAAACCCTCTGAATATGGTAGCTATAATACCTGGTTCTGGATCGTTCCAAAGGATTGATTGCTTTCATGAAAGAGAATATAAAGTGTACCTCTAATTTAATTAGCAGATTATAAAAACTACTACAAACAGGACACAAAATCTCTTAAAATGTCATGAATCAGTGTGCAGGTGTTCTGACCTGTGGCTTCCCATTTTGGTTTCACAAACAGAATTCCATCCGGGAGTTCCATGGAAAGGACTGCAGAATATTGACCCTGAGAATGACCCTGATGTCACTCCTGGCAGTGTCCCCACTGGGCCTACCATCAATACCACCATCCAGGATGTCAACCGCTACCTCCTCAAGAGTGGAGGTGAGGGTGCGGCTCTGCCTGCCTCTGCATGGATGGTCTCTCTAGACCCCTCTGGAGGGGTGACAGGTTGAGCTGTGAGGCAGGGATGGTACAAGGCACAGTTGGCAGGCACCTTTTCTAGTCACCCAAAGCAGCGTGAAAAGACGGCAGGTAGTACTCACGGGAAATCTAGTGCTAATGGAAATCGATTTGAGTCTCTGCTGGGTTTGTTTTTTTGTTTTTTGAGACAACGTCTTGCTCTGTCACCCAGGCTGGAGTGCAGTGGCACAATCTAGGCTCTCTGCAGCCTCCACCTCTCAGGTTCAAACGATTTTCCTGCCTCAGCCTCCCAAGTGGCTAGGATTACAGGCGTGTGGCACCATACCAGGCTAATTTTTGTATTTTTAGTAAAGACAGGGTTTCTCCATGTTGGCCAGGCTGGTCTCGAACTCCTAACCTCAGGTGATTCATCCATGCTGCTGGATTTATTAATAGGTACTGCCCTTTTTTTTTGAGACAGAGTCTTTCTCTGTCTCCAGGCTGGAGTGCAGTGGCGTGATCTTGGCTCACTGCAACTTCCCTCTGCTGGGTTCAAGTGATTCCCCTACCTCAGCCTCCCGAGTAGCTGGGACTACCGGTACGCGCTACCACCCCTGGCTAAATTTTTGTATTTCAGTAGAGACAGGGTTTCACCATGTTGGCCAGGATGGTCTTGATCTCTTGATCTCGTGATCCGGTCCACGTCAGCCTCCCAAAGTGCTGAGATTACAGTGAGCCACCACTCCCAGCCAATAGGTAATGTCTTATCAAAGAAGTGCCATCTCTGATAAAGTTTTATCACAGCAGGCTATTTTGTGGAAGAAAAAGCTAGATTGCCATAGGTACTATCACTAATCAAACCACCTAGGTACTTCCCAAAACATTAAGTTTCCCACTTGAAGTATGACTCATTGGTGCCATGTGTTTGCTTCTGTTGTTGAGACAGATTCTTGCTCTGTCACCCAGGCTGGAGTATAGTGGTGTGATTTGGTTCACTGCAACCTTCACCTCCCAGGCTCAAGTGATTCTCATCCCTCAGCCTCCCAAGTAGCTGAGACTATAGGCGCACACCACCACACTCAGCTAATGTTTTGTTTTATTTTGTTTAAGACGGGGTTTCACCATGTTGGTCAGGCTGGTCTTGAACGCCCAACCTCAGGTGATCCACCTGCCTTGGCCTCCCAAGTGCTTAGATTACAGGCATGAGCCACCACACCCAACCAGTGTTTTGTATTTTTAGTAGAGACAGGGTTTCACCATGTTGGCCAGGCTAGTCTCATACAGCTGACCTCAAGCGATCCACCTGCCTTGGTCTCCCAGAGTTCGGGGATTACAGGTGTGACCCAGCACACCTGGCTGCTTCTGTGGTTCTTTAAAGCGATAGACTTCTAAATGTATCTGTGGTTTGGCTGGAGAGCCAACAGAAGTACAGAGTGCCCTTTCTGTTTAATGCTGTGCATTTCTTGGGGTTTGATGCAGCTGCTTTTCGGAGCAGGTGTTATGGGTGTCCCTGCTGTCAGACACAGGCAAGTGGTGCAGGAAACAGCCGTGTGAGATGACAGAGGACGAGTGAGGCACCAGCCAGAATTGGAGACCCAACCCTCCCTGCTTGTCATACCGGGTGGGGCACCAGGGTTGTGCCAGATAGGAAAGTTAACATATTTTGAGAGTTGTGGAAAAGTGGGATGCAAGTTGTACACATACAGGTCATAAGAGAATTTGGAAAGAATCGAAGTTGCCTAACACATGCCAGAGCTTCCTGCATGGTGCCCAGATGAAGCATCAAGTGGCTCCTTACTCTCTAGTCAGAACCAGGGGCATTGGGAGTGGCCTCTGCTGTCACCTGAGTGTGCCATGGTGTGATAAAAATGGCCTGAGAAACATGTGGCAGCTGTCCTTCAGCTCCATAGCCTGCCCAGTTAAGGAGCTAGACTTGCAGGGAGGGCAGAAGAGAACCTAACCCTAAGAAATGCATTGGCCATCAGATAAGGCAAGGAAATGGCATCTCTAGCTCTGAGACTAAAGAAATCAGCCAGCCAGCCAACCTGGGTGACTTGCAACTCCAAGTGAACATTATTTGACTTCTGGGGTGCTTGATGTTAGGGTCTTGAGCCTGCCTTGACGCTTGCACATAGACATCAGTATTCAGCAGCAGCCAGCTCAGGTGACTTCATGCCAGGCCTCTCCTTCAGCTCATGACCAGCACTGGGAACCTCATTCCTCCACTCTGCTACCTCTCATGGTTGTGTTTAGGGATACATTAGGGTTTGTTATTGAAAGAAAGGGGAGTACAATGAATATCTCTTCATGTAGAAGTTGCTAGCCAGAAAGCACTAGCAAGCCAGGAATAGTGACTTACACCTGTAATCTCAGCACTTTGGGAGGCCAAGGTGGGAGAATCACTTGAGGCCAGGAATTTGAAACCAGCCTTAGTAATATAATGAGACCCTTCTCTATAAAAAATTAAAAATGAAAAAATTAGCTGGGTGTGGTGGCACACATTCAGGGTCCCAGCTACTCGGGAGGCTGAGACAAGAGAATCAACTTGAGTTTGGGAGGTCAAGGCTGCAGTGAGCTGTGATTGGGCCACTACACCTTAGCCTAGGTGACAAAGCAAGACTTCATCTCAAAAAGAATAAAGAAAAGAAGGCACCAGTGCCATGGTGCAGTAGGAGTGGACTGCAGTGGCCAGACCTTGTCAGCAGCCCTCTGCCACTGGGCTGGCCTGGCAGCTTCCAGGCTTCTTTCAGACCCATCACCTGGCTCAGGCACCCAGCCACAGGTGGTCCTTGTATTATTGAGTGGCCAGCTTGATCTAAAGTTCAAAGAGAGAAAAATTAAGAAAATGTGCCCTAGAAGGAAAAGAGTGAGACGTAGCCCTCTCTCTTGATATTGGTTTGTTTTACATATTTTATCATGGAATTTTGTTTTCTTTTACTGAATATATTGGATGTGGGCTTTTAATATACGTTTTTTGTTGTTTTCTCATTGCCACTGGCATTAAGCTCTGATTTATATTAAAACTCACATTAGGTCAGTATTTGTTTGGATATTATTTACAAATTTAACCCTTTCACCAGAGTGATGAAATGCAGTTATGCAATTTCATAACACATTGATATTAATGCTTGTCAAAAAGAAAAATTAGCTGTAATCCAATGGAACAAATTTCGCTACTGAAACTAAAAGTTTCAAAACTAGAAAGCCGTTCAAATTTACATACTCTATTGTTAATTGTAAAATAAATACCGCCGGGTTCAGTGGCACGTGCCTGTAGTCCCAGCTACCCAGGAGGCTGAGGTGGGAGGATCGCTTGAGCCCAGGAGTTCTGGGCTGTAGTGCGCTCTGCCAATCAGGTGTCCACACGAAGTTCAGCATCAATATGGTGACCTCCCGGGAGCGAGGGACAACCAGGTTGCCTAAGGAGTGGGGGTGAACTGGCCCAGGTCGGAAATGGAGCAGGTCAAAACTCCCGTGCTGATCAGTAGTGGGGATTGCACCTGTGAATAGCCACTGCACTCCAGCCTGGGTAACATAGCAAGACCCCGTTTCTAGAAAGAAAAAAAAAATAGAAAAAAAAAGAAAATTTAAATTAAAAAAAAAAAAAAGAAAATAAATAAATACCATGTAAGGCTAATAGTCTATAACCCTGAGATCCTTAGGTTGATTACATTTCACTGATAAATGAAGAGCATTTAGGAAACAGCTTAGGCTGTCAGAGCTGACACCTTTTTTTTCCCCCCCTTTGGGACAGAGTTTCACTCTTGTCACCCAGGCTGGAGTGCAATGGCACAATCTCAGCTCACTGCAACTTCCACCTCCTGGGTTCAAGCGAGTCTCCTGCCTCAGCCTCCCAAGTAGCTGGGATTACAGGCGTGTACTACCACACCCAGCTAATTTTTGTATTTTTTGTAGAAACGGGGTTTCACCATGTTGGCCAGTTGGTCTCAAACTCCTGACGTCAGGTGATCCGCCCACCTCAGCCTCCCAAAGTGCTGGGATTACAGGCATGAGCCACTGCACCTGGCTGAGCTGACACCTTTTTAAAGCAAAGACCTTCCTGAGAGAATTAACACAGGAACGGAAAACAGCTCAGGTTCTGACTTACAAACAGGAGTAAAACACTGAGTTTACATGAACACAAAGAAGGGAGCAACAGACACTGGGGCTTGCTTAAGGGTATAGGATGGGAGGAGGGGAAGGATTGAAACACTGCCTATTGGGTACTATGCTCACTGCCTAAGTGACGGAATGATCTCAACACCACACCCCGTCAACACACAATTTACCTGTGTGACAAACCTGCACATGTGCTCAATGAACCCAAAATAAAAACTGGAAAAAACAAAAGTGAAGACCTGCAGATTACTTTCCTAAAGGCTAGTGCCCTCATTCTTTTCTTCTGGTTTTTTGTTTGTTTTTAGACAGAGTCTCACTCCGTCACTGGGCACCAGGCTGGAGTGCAGTGGCACAATCTCGGCTCACTGCAACCTCCGCCTCCCATGTTCAAGCAATTCTCCTGTCTCAGCCTCCCGAGTAGCTGGGACTACAGGCACATGCCACCACGCCCAGCTAATTTTTTTGTGTTTTTAGTAGAGATGGGTTTACCATGTTGGCCAGGATGGTCTTGATCTCTTGACCTCGTGATCCACCCGCCTTGGCCTCCCAAAGTGCTGGGATTACAGGCGTGAGCCACCGCTCCCAGCCAGTGTCCTCATTCTAAAGAGGTCACTTGCATCAGGGCAGCTGCAAACAGCTGTGCAGATTGGACACTGTGCAAGTCCAGGATGTGCCACACGCCTGATTATTTTATGCACAGCTCCATTTGGGGTCCTCAGCTGAGATGACATCCTTTTGAGAAACCATCGCATTCTGTTTATGGTCATAAAGTGACAGGGTTCTAGTTTAGCAGCCAGACTGTGCTCACGTTCCCTCTGCTAGCCAGAATCCACGCACTGGCAGAGTCATTATCCCAATCAGAGCTCTTTCCATCCTGCGTTCACCCCAACTGTCACCATTACTCCTTCCTCACTCTTCTTTCCCAGCTTCTTGCTTTCTTCTCAGAATTGAGAGGGAGGGAGAGCCACATCAGAAAATATACAATAAAATTTAAAAACCAAGCAGCAAAGAGCTGAGCTTTTTCACAAGGAATCGAGGTGCTTTAAGGATGGCCCATTTACCCTAAGTCTCCCGTCCAGGCACAGGGACAAGCTTTCCTCAGAAAACTGCAGTCCTAGAGATAGAATAGCTCAAGTTCATATAAACAGTTATTAGAAGAGATACCTCTTAAATATTCCTGTATTTAAAAAGGGAATTATGAGCTGGGCATGGTGGCATGCACCTGTGGTCCCAGCCACTCAGGAGGCTAAGGAAAGGAGGTAGAGACTGCTGTGCACTATGATCACGTCTATGAACGGGCACTGTGCTGCAGCCTGGGTAATGCTGCAACGACCCCATCTCTGAAAAACACAATTTTTAAAGCAGAATATGAGTGGAAGCTGATGGGACACCCCAGTCAGAAGAAATGCTCAAATATTTACTGCAGATTTTATAATAAAAGGCGTGCAGTTTTGTTCTTCTATTTTGTGGCCATTGTTTGAACTGTGAAAGGTTATAGATTGCTCTGGATTTGTATTTTATCTTATTTGGGAGAGGAAATCAATGTAGTCCTTTAAAATTCTGACATGGTATTTTAAGCATTCTGGCAGGAATTCTCTTCTCAAAGAAGCTGATGCTGCTCCTTGCTCTTTGGTCCTCAGCCTTCAGCAACATCCTAGGCCTCCCTGAGTGGCTGCAGGGACCCAGAATAGGAGGCACACCCTGTTCCTTCCTTCCCACATGACACTTTCATGTTCAGGCTTCAGCAGCCTAGGGAGTGGTTGATTCTTGATGGTTAAGATTCTCATCCCCCACAGTTGGAGTCACAAACCCGCCTGCTGCCACCACCTTGCTCAGTGCTGCCTTTGGTTCTGCAGGGTCCTCCCCGCCATCATCTCAGAATGCCACGCTGCCTTCTTCGAGTGCCTGGCCGCTCAGTGCCTCCGGCTACAGTAGCTCTTTCAGCAGCATTGCATCCGCGCCTAGTGTTGCAGGTACGCGCCCAGCCTCTCCACTTGCAGGTATAGTTTTCTTTCTTTCCCCAAACAAAACTTTTGACAGGCCCCGGCTTTTCCTGTTGATCTCTTTACTGACTCCCTGAGCTGGGAGGCTGTGTGGTGTGGTGGAAGATGGATGGGGGCCTTGCCCAGGCACAGCCGGTGCCTTGGGCACATCGGCTTGCACATGCATGGAAGTGGTTACCTCTTCTCCATACAAGTGTGTGGGCCCTCTGCCTTCTCTCTTCCTCTCCCCCATTTCCACAAGACAAGGGGTATGCAAGGCTTTGAAAACTTAGAGGCAGAAACTTCTGGGAATTTAGTTACTTGAGTTTGCCAGGGGCTTGACTCTGTGTTGCTTTGTCTATTACAGTCTGCTGGTGTTGAGAGCACTCTGTGTGGCTCCCCAAACACAGCAGTGACTTTTCTTTGTCTCAAGGCTGCATATGTTCCATCTCTCTGCTTTTCTAGGTAAACTGTCAGACATTAAGTCAACATGGTCCTCTGGCCCTGCCTCCCACACGCAAGCCTCTCTGTCTCATGAACTGTGGAAGGTGCCCAGAAACACTACTGCACCCACGAGGCCACCTCCAGGGTTAACCAATCCCAAGCCTTCCTCCACCTGGGGTGCCAGCCCCCTCGGCTGGACCAGCTCCTACTCCTCGGGTAAGCTCCATGCTTCTCATGTTCCAGTGGGGGCCTTACTCTTTAGGGGATGTGCTTATCACTTTGTCCTCCACTTCCTTTGCAAGAACTCCTGCCTCTAACTCTGGAGCCTGGGAGGCTTTAGGAGGGCACCAAGGCTGCCCTAGATGTCCAGGGCATTAGCTGGGTGAGCCTGGTGTTTTTAGCATCAGCCTAGGTGTACCAGCATGCAGCAGGTTTGCTCTGGGCCAGGAGGTCCCAGGCTGTCCCAGCACCTATCGAGGGCCCACACTGGCCAACTCCATCCTCAAGAGTGTGGCTGCCCCACACTAGGCTGTCAGAGGCCTTCACAGCCCTTTAGACTCTCTGCCCCCATTAGCCCCCATTGCACAGGGATCTAGATTTCTGCTTTTTTTATTTGCTTCTCCACAAGATACCATTGGAACATAAGGCTTTTCCAGGCCAAAAACAAACCCTACCAGTTTGAAAACAACTCTCATAATATTGCAGCTCTGTAGGCTTCTCCTAGGTGCTGCTTGCTGAACCTCAGAGATGAAATGTACTGGGAATTTAAGAAACTGAAGATTTAAACCAGTGTGGACAACAAAGGGAGACCCCATCTCCACAAAAAAATAAAAAACTTAGGGGGGCATAGTGGCACACACCTGTGATCCCAACTGCCAGGGAGGCTGAGATGGTAGGATGGCTCAAGCCCAGGAGATTGAGGCTACAGTCAGCTGTGCTTGAGCCACTGCCCTCCAGCCTGGATGATGGAGTGAGACCCTGTCTCTAAAAAAATAATAAATAACAAAATTTTTTAAATCAACTACAGATAGTATATTAGTCCATTTCCACGCTGCCAGCGAAGACGTACCCAAGACTGGCAAAGAGATTTATTGGACTTAACAGTTCTTTGTGGCTGGGGAGGCCTTACAATCATGGCAGAAGGTGAAAGGCAGGTCTCACATGGCGGCAGACAAGAAAAAAAAGAGCTTGTGCAGGGAAACTCTCATTTTTAAAACCATCAGATCTCGTGAGACTTACTCAAAAGAACAGCATGGGAAAGATCTGCCCCCATTATTCAGTTACCTCCCACTGGGTTCCTCCCATGAAACATGGGAATCGTGGGAGTAACAATTCAAGATGATATTTAGGTGGGGACACAACCAAACCATATAGTTCCTCCCCGACCCCTCCCAAATCTCATATCCTCACATTTCAAAACCAATCATGCCTTCCCAAAAGTCCCCCGAAGTCGTAACTCATTTCAGCATTAACTCAGAAGTCCATAGTCCAAAGTCTATTTGAGATAAGGCAAGTCCCTTCCACCTATGAGCCTGTAAAATCAAAAGCAAGTTAGTTACTTCCTAGATACAGTGAGGGTACAGGCATTGGGTAAATAGAATCATTCCAAATGGGAGAAATTGGCCAAAACAAAGGGGCTGCAAGCCCCATGCAAGTCTGAAATCCAGCATGGCAGTCAAATCTTAAAGCTCCAAAGAGATTCCATGTCTCACATCTGGATCATGCTTAGGCAAGAGGTGGGTTCCCATGGTCTTGGGCAGCTCCACCCCTGTGGCTCTGCAGGGTACAGCCTCCCTCTTGGCTGCTTTCACCGGCTGGTGTTAAGTGTCTGCGGCTTTTCCAGGCACACAGTGCAAGCTGTCGGTGGATCTACCATTCTGGGGTCTAGAGGACTATGGTCCTCTTCTCACAGCTCCACTAGGCAGTTCCCCAGTAGGGACTTTGTGTGGGGGCTCCACCCACATTTCCCTTCCACACTGCCCTAGCAGAGGGTCTCCGTGAGAGCCATGCCCCTGCAGCAAACTATTGTCGGAACATCCAGGTGTTTCCATACGTCCTCTGAAATCTAGTTGGAGGATCCCAAACCTCAGTTCATCACTTCTGTGCACCCGGAGTCTCAAACACCACGTGGAAGCTGCCAGGGCTTAGAGATTCCATGCTCTGAACCATGAGGGCTGGAGTGGCAGGGACACAAGTCACCAAATTCCTAAACTGCACACAGCATGTGAACCCTGGGCCTGGCCCATGAAGCCATTTTTTTTCCTCGTAGGCCCCTGGCCTATTGTGATGGGAGGGGCTGCCATGAAGACCTCTGCATACCCTTGGAGATAGTTTCCATTTTCCCTATTGTCTTGGGGATGAACATTCAGCTCCTCCTTACCTAGGCAAATTTCTACAGCTGGATTGAAATTTTCCTCAGAAAATGAGATTTCTTTTTTTTTGAGATGGAGTTTCACTCTTGTCACCAAGGCTGGAGTATAGTAGAGCAATCTGGGCTCACTGCAACCTCTGCTTCCTGGGTTCAAGCGATTCTCCTGCCTCAGTCTCCCAAGTAGCTCCCATGCACCTGTATAGCCAGCTAGTTTTTATGTTTTCAGTAGAGGTAGAGTTTCACCATGTTGACCAGGCTGGTCTCAAACTCTTCACCTCAGGTGATCCACCCATCTCAGCCCCGCAAAGTGATGAGGTTACAGGTGTGAGCCACCATACCCAACCAGTTTTCCAAGCTGAAGTGCAGTGGTACAATCTTGGCTCACCATGACCTCTGCCTCCTGGGTTCAAGTGATTCTCCTGCCTCAGCCTCCCAAGTAGCCGGGACTACAGGCACCTGCCACCATGCCCAGCTAATTTTTGTAGTTTTAGTAGAGAATGGGTTTCACTATGTTGGCCAGGCTGGTCTCAAACTGCTGACCTTGTGATTCGCCCATCTCAGCCTCCCAAAGGGCTGGGATTACAGCCATGAGCCACTGCGCCCAGCAAAACTGAATGCTTTTAGCAGCACCCAGGTCACCTCTTGAATGCTTTACTGCTTGGAAATTTCTTGTACCAGATACCCTACATCATCTCTCTCAAGTTCAAAGTCCCACAGATCTCTAGGGCAGGGGCAAAATGCCACCTGTCTCTTTCTAAAACATAAGAGCCACCCTTGCTCTAGTTCCCTACAAGTTCTACCTCAGCCTGGACTTTATTGTCCATATCCCTGTCAGCATTCTTGTCAAAACCATTTAACAAGTCTTCAGGAACTTCCAAATTTTTCCCACTTCTGCCTGTTACCCAGTTTCAAAGTTGCTTCCACATTTTTGCATATTTTTGCAGCAGCACCCCACTCTACTGGTACCAGTTTTCTTTATTAGTCCGTTTTCATGCTGCTTATAAAGACATTCCAGGGCCGGGCACGGTGGCTCAAGCCTGTAAGCCCAGCACTTTGGGAGGCCGAGGCAGGTGGATCACAAGGTCAAGAGATCGAGACCATCCTGGTCAACATGGTGAAACCCCGTCTCTACTAAAAATACAAAAAATTAGCTGGGCACGGTGGCGCGTGCCTGTAATCCCAGCTACTCGGGAGGCTGAGGCGGGAGAATTGCTTGAACCCAGGAGGCGGAGGTTGCAGTAAGCCGAGATTGCGCCATTGCACTCCAGCCTGGGTAACAAGAGCGAAACTCCATCTCAAAAAAAAAAAAAAAAAGACATTCCAAGGCAAAGCAATGTACAAAAGAAAGAGGGTTATTGGACTTGCGCTTCCACGTGGCTGGGGAGGCCTCATAATAATGGCAGAAGATGAAAGGCACATCTCACATGGTAGCAGACAAGAGAAGGGAGAGAGCTTCTGCAGGGAAACTCCCATTTTTTAAACTATCAGATCTTGTGAGAGACTGTCACCAGAACAGCACAGGAAAGACCTGCCCCCATGATTCAGTTACCTCCCACCAGGTTCCTCCCACAAAATGTAGGAATCATGGGAGTTACAATTCAAGATGGGATTTGGATGGGGACACAGCCAATCCATATCAAACAGTTTCAAAGTAACAGTGTCCTCCTTTTAGCAGCAGCCTTTAGGGTTTTGCTCTGTTGTATTAACCAGAAGAACCTGCGAGCACTGATTCCACTTGGGGGTTGGGGGTAGGCAGAGGTGGAGACCAGAGCTTCCCTGGAGATTCTCAGACCTATCATCACCACTTCTCTGCTGGCACAGATGGGAAAACACAGTCCTCCTGGGCTGGTGGGAAGATCCAAGAAGTGAGTTTCCACATGGAAGCAGGAAGAGGGTCTGCAGGGACTGTGAGATTTTGGTTTACCAAAGAGCGTGGGCCTCCCAGGCTGAGAAAGGCTGTCCTAGAGCATGTGGTGATGGCCTGTGCTGGCCCACACTTGAGCACAGTAAGAGGCGGGAGGGCTGTGCTATCCACTGGCCTTGTCAACTGGGTTCCCCCCTCTTGTTGCAGGTTCTGCCTGGAGCACCGACACCTCAGGAAGAACCAGCAGCTGGCTTGTTCTTCGAAACCTCACTCCCCAGGTGCAATGCCGGTGCCCCTGCGTCACTGAGCACAATCAAGGGAGGGATCCTGCTTGGCTTCTGATGCAGATGAGGCTGTCTGGTGTGGCAGGGTGGCGGGGGGTTCTTGGTCAGGATCCAGAGGTGACACTGCATGGGAGGAGATGAGCAAGTGCCAGGATTGCTCCAGCAGCAGCAGCACATGGGTCCCAGGGGCCTCTTTTAACATGTTCCTAGTGAACTGTTTACCCACTAGAGTCTGGAAAAGTGGTGTTCTCTGTAGATAGAATTGTTTATCTTACAACTACCCGTTCAAGAGTGGTTTGGCCCAGCCTGATGCAGTAGTTCATGCCTGTAATCCCAGCACTTTGAGAGGCCGAGGCCAAGGATCACCTGAGCCCGAGTTCAAGACCAGCCTGGACAACATAGTGAGACCCAATGTGTGTATTTTTATAATGTTTTTTAAAAGAGTGGTTTGGCCACGTCAGACTGTGGGCTAGCCAGTCTTCCTGGGACCCAGGCCACACCTATCTGCATGTCTCCCAAGTCTTGTCTGCAGCTGGGCCCAGGTGGCTTTTGTAAACCAGAGGCACTGTGTGACGTGCTCTGGTGAAAAGAAAGCAGAACTCAAAATGGAGTTTTTCTCCTTCCTCCAATTAGCCTAACTCAAAAAAACCGAAACATCCAAGGTTTTTTTTGTTTTGTTTGTTTTAGACAAAGTCTCACTCTGTCACCCAGGCTGGACTGCAGTGGCACAATCTCAGCTCACTGCAACCTCTGCCTCCTGGGTTCAAGCAATTCTGCCTCAGCCTCCTGAGTAGCTGGGATTACAGACACCCACCACCACACCAGCTATTTTTTTTATTTTTAGTAGAGACAAGGTTTCACCATGTTGGTCAGGCTGGTCTCGAACTCCTGATCTCCTGAGCCACCGTGCCCGGCCTCATCCAATAATTCAGTTACACATTTGTCCACAGAGATAAAATGTTAGTGTTGTAAAGTTATTAGCCCTTTTAAAGAAAAACATATTCCTAGTGTTCAGTGTATCTGATGTCATGTTTTTTCTTTGGAAGGGTGTAGTGAAAGAAATGAGAAGCAAACTCATTCATGCCCCTGTGCTTCCTCTGTCAGATCGATGGCTCCACACTGCGGACACTGTGTTTGCAACATGGGCCTCTCATCACATTCCACCTGAATCTGACTCAAGGCAATGCCGTGGTCCGGTACAGCTCCAAGGAGGAGGCTGCCAAGGCCCAGAAGTCTCTGCACATGTATGTTTCCTCACAGCCACCTCAGTGCTCCAAGTAGCTCCACATCCACCAGAGCGTTAGGTTAGGGGTGTTGCACGGGTGTTCTGAGCCACAGCAGGATCCCACAGGCTGGCCACCCGCCCACTTCCAGAGGCCGGAAGTCTGACCCCCAAGACAATGGTGTGGGCAGGGCTGCTTTCTCGAGGCGTCTCTCCTTGGCTGTAGATGGCTGCCTTCTCCCTCTGTTCCTACGTGGTCATCTCTTTGTGCATGTCTGTGCCATTATCTTCTCTCCTTATAACACCAGTCATGTTGGACTAGGGCTCACCCATGTGACCTCATCTAACTTAATTACTTCTTTAAAAACTCATCTCCAGACACAGTCGCATGGGAGGTACTGGGGGTGAGGACTTCAGCAAAGGAATTGGGGGAAGGTGACGCAGGTCGGTTCCTCACAGGTATCTTGGGACTTAACTATTGGTTTCTTCTGCTGCTCAGTTACTGTGTCTACCTCCTCCACTAGGGAGAGGCCCCCCAAAAAGCACACACAGATCACAATGATAAAAAACACTCTCCCACCAGGGGAAGCCTGGGGAACCGTGACCCATTTCTACACGAGGCCCAGCAGCGGTCCTCAGAGCCAGCCCTTCAACAAAAGTTTGGTTTTGATAGAAGTATGAGGAGACCTGATCGGTCACATTACTTGAGACATGCAACCTAGATATTAGTCCTTCCTGTTTTTAGACCAGGATGGAAATGACACTGGATGACCCTGGCCCTAAGTGAGCCTCGAGCTTCCTGGTGTACTCCTGTGCTTGCAGAGGTGCTCTCTGTATCCGCAGGAGGTTGCTGCCATCCACCTTCCACTAGTCTCAACTAAGCAAACCATTCACAGGCTGGGTTTGGAAATAGTGGCAAAACAGAAGCCACAGGATGACTTCTGGGTGACCTTTCCCAATACAGAGACAGAAAGCCAGTGCCACAAATGCGGCAGGACTTGGGGTGGCCCCGCTCACGCACCCCTTCTTGCTGTTGCAGGTGCGTCCTGGGAAACACTACCATCCTGGCAGAGTTTGCTGGCGAAGAAGAAGTGAATCGCTTCTTGGCTCAAGGCCAGGCACTGCCATCCACCTCCAGCTGGCAGTCCAGCAGCGCATCCAGCCAGCCGCGGCTCAGCGCAGCGGGCAGCTCCCATGGCCTGGTGCGCAGCGATGCTGGCCACTGGAATGCCCCATGCCTGGGTGGCAAGGGAAGCAGTGAGCTGTTGTGGGGTGGGGTGCCCCAGTACTCCAGCAGCCTGTGGGGCCCGCCCAGTGCCGACGACAGCAGGGTGATCGGCAGTCCAACCCCACTGACCACCCTGCTGCCCGGGGACCTGCTCAGTGGGGAGTCCCTGTAGGAGCTGCCGCCATCAGCACCAGGAGAGCCGACCCCTCCCGGGACCCTCCCAGCTGGACGGCCCCACACACCCACTGGAACCCCGTGGCGGCCGCCCTTTTGAGTACCTCTGTCCAGGACTGAAGACGAACCTTGGCCGCAGTCCTTGCGAACTGTTCCCAAAACAGTGCGGGCTGCGGTGGGTCAGCGTCACATGCTAATGACAGTATGTTCCTTGTAGCTTTTTATTTTGTGTGTCTTATGTTTGTATAGTAAGTTGTCATTTTGATTTTTTTTTTTTTTTTTTTTTTTTAAGTATAAAAGCTGCTTAGAATAGTTCTATCATGAAGGGCACTTTTCAGATTGTGGGCTGGAAAGGGTTATTTTATCTGTGGGGGAGGGAGGGAGACGTGAAGCCTATTTAAAATGAGCCTGTGACGATTATGCACATTACCAGAGGCGGCCGGTAATCAGGGCAGAGTCTGGTGTGGACAGCCGGGCGCAGAGCGGCTCCGCATGGTAGTTGAGTGGAAGGCGCAGGCTGCGGTCTGCTCTGTTCCCCTGGATCCGCCTATGCACATTACCCTTGTTTCATTACTTTTTCATGTCATTTTTTTATCCCAAAAAATATTTTTTAAAAGTTAAAAAAAAAAGACATATCAAACATGCAAATACTTGAATCCAGCAGGCCAATAGTGAAATGTGAACACTTTCTAATTCTACACTTCCAGGTTGACATCAGTACACAGAACAGGCTCTAGGAAAAATTTCTAAGTTCATAGCCTACGTGCGTGTGTATGTGTGCGTGTTGAAACAAGTGTGTGTGCGTGTGCGGTGCGTGATTCTCAGCACGCAGTTCTCTGTGTCCGTGTGTTTGAAAGCGTGTGAGGATTTAACTGTGGGTTTCCCTTGTATTCAGTATATGCTTTTTTTTGGCGCATTGGTCAAACGTTTGTTACTATTAGCTTCTAACTTTGCACTGAGTGTCCTCGCCCTTCCTTTAGCTAATCCTATACATCACAGAGAATTCCCAGGACAGGGCCGGCGACAATTCATGTGTAAATGTTTACTCAAGGACTCTGTGACTGCGTTTAAAAAGTACAGTGTATATCTCTGGAGAAAGAATATGTATACCTACCTTTAGCAGCTTTTTATTGTGAACTAATGCAAGAAAATTATTACCAGAGTATTGCACCATTTTTCCATTTGGAATATAAAGTTAACGAGAAAAAAACTGTTGTTGAACTGTGGCCATAGATACTTGTAAAGAATGGATGGTTCCGCGGGAGGAACAGAAACAAGCACTTGGACGTGGGTTGTGACTGCTTTTGGGGGAGCCTGGGGTTTGGGCTCCCACCTGTTTACAGACCTTTTTTTCTCCTTCAGACTTTAAAATTTTAAAAATTTAAAAAGGAATTAAAAAAAAAAAGACTTCCGTCGTAAAGAAACCTATTTTCAGAATGCAGATACGCTCCTTCAGAGCTCTGGGACGGGACAGTGTTGTTCCCTCGGCCATCGTCGTGGGCTCTGTCGATTGCTTTCGCCCCTTCGTCAAGGTGACAGGCGTTGTGGCCACTGTCTTGCACATGCCGGACGCGCTCTCAGGAAAGCCAGGGCTCCCGAGGGCAGCTCCACACCATTTCATGTATTTTTAAACCCAACTCCTAGCACTGAAGATGTTATTAAAAAAAAAAAAAAAAAAAAAATGAAAAAATTTAAAAAAAGAAAACAAAAAAAAAAACAGACAAAGAAGAAAAATACCTAATCTCTAATGTGTAGCAGTTACATATTTACCAAATAATGGACTCAAAAGAAATAGATGTTTGAAGAGTGCTTTATATATTAAAAATTGCTTTATGTTTTAAGAATGATCAATGTTTTGATTGTTTTGCAAGGAAGAAAGACAATGGAATAACATACCCTCAAGTATGTTTTAAAATATATATATATGAACATTGTGCTCCCTGCCTGCTTGATCAGGAAACTTGTGCATTACATTTTTTTTAATTAGCTTTTTAATGGTTTTATCAATACAAAAATATATACAAAAAAAAAAGTCCTGCAAGATTGCAGATCCACAAAAGCTGGTTTTATAGAGACCATGAACTATGCACGGACTGGGTTCAAGACTTCTTTTCTCAAGTTCAGTAGGGTCTTCAGCAAGCCGACCTCCCTCAGTGACCGCATCTCATCGCCATTACATGCATTCTGTATATTCGATGGACATACACCTGCGTATGTGTATCCAGTATATGTGCGTGTGAGCGTGTGTGTGCGTGTGTGCACCCGACATACCACTTCCTGTGCTACCAGCGAGCACTGAGCTGTAGAACTCCTGGTGTTTTAAAATTGGGGATGAAAGTCAACAATATGTTAGTTTGTTTTGGGGTTTTGTTGGGTTTGTTTGAGGTTTTTTTTTTTTTTTTTTTTTGGACCTTTTATTTTGGATTTAATTGTCTGTAACTCTGAGATTAAAAAACAAGTTTGTGGCTCTTAATGTTTTTCTCATAGAATGTGATTGTTGAAGAACATGCATCGAAATTTGCTTTCAAAAGTACAACGCTTTATTGAATCCTAATAAATTGCAATTTTTTTTCTTGGCTGTTCAAAGTAACGTGTATTTCGTCTTTCAAAATGGACACTGGATGTGCACTCTGCACACTGCAACTGGGAGAGCTGGCCTGCCATAATGTCCTCAGAGCCTACATGCCTCCGTCTCATGAGGGAAACGCAGGCTTCCAGTTGTTTTGCTTTATTCTGTCACTTGCTTTGTGAGTTTGCTGTAAATATTGAAATCTTACTAATAATTGTTGAGAGGCACAACCAAGCTTTCTAGCTCTCTACCCTCACAGCCCATCGAGTCAGTTCATCTGGTAACTGCTGTTGTCCTGGACTGCAGCAAGAGGAGGCTGGGGCCCACCTGGAGTCCTGGCAAAGGAGTGCCGCTCACTTTTGCCTAGGGTCCACTTTGGGCTTAAAAAGTCTTTGGAGAGAAGAGTCATGAGGGGTTTTTTTGTTTCCTGGACATCTTATGCATTCATTTTTGTATGAGCACAGTGGAACGTCAGTGCTGAGGCAGCAGCAGCCTAACCCCAGAATCTCAGTGCAACCGGTGTGATATTGGTGTTACAGACAGGCCTTTGAAGAGAGACCGAGCACCCCAGTGGCCCCTCAGACTAAGCAAGTGTCTTTTTCTGTTTCCACTTCAGAGAGCAAGGTCAAAGGTGGACCTGCCCATTTTGGGTCAACTCCATCCAAAGAATGGGACCCCCCCCCACCCCACCACAGGCTGACCCCCACAATGGTGGAAGGCAGGTACCTTGGCTCTGAGCAACCTCTTGGAAATTGAAAAGGAAAGCAATGAGTGGGACCTAATCCCGAGAAGAAATTGAAGACCAGAAAAAGAAGGAATCTGGGAATGAAACTCAAATGCAGTTGAACCTGGACGAAGCAACCCTCAGCTCTGCACTCTGGACAAGAGTTCATTTTGTGCCTGAGTGGCTACAGGGACAAGCTGTACCCATGCATGTGCGCTGGGGGAACAAAGTCAGTGCCCGAGAGTGTGCAAAGGATGTGTCAGGCTCCATGGAGGAGGTGGCATTTGCCCTGGGTCTGGGAGACCAGGTTGGATTTTGACAGACTGGGAACTCAGGGGACAAGCCAAGGCCCCACGTGGGGAGCCCATGCAAAGGCCTCGTGGCCCTGGAGCATGATTTCCACCGTGGGTGAAAAGCAGGTTTGAGGAAAATGACAAGTTCTTCACCTGTATCTGTGGATTTTTTTATTTTTTTAATGACCGGTTCAGAGTAGCCCTCTGTGGTTTGTATCTTTGTTTAATACAGCCTCTCTGTCTCCCAGGCTAGAGTGCAGTGATGTGATAGCAGCTCACGGCAGCCTTGACCTCCCGAGTTCAAGCAGCCCTCCCACCTCAGCCTCCCAGGTAGCTGGGACCACGGGCATGCATGCGCCACCCCACCCAGCTCATTTCATTTTTTATTTTTGTACCATGTTGCCCAGGCTGGTCTCGGACTTCTGGGAATACAGGCATGAGCCACCGTGCCCAGCCTCCGTTTTGTGTTTTAACTAATTTGGCAATACCATGACAGAACGGTAAAGGTAGAAAGCACGGTGTCCAGTGGCTAGCAGTGTGGTATGCAGAGAAGGCTGTTCAAATGCGGGAGGAGAAGCCAACAGATGAGGCATCATGGTGAGCCCAGACTGTGTTTGGTGAGGAGGGACAACAGAGGCAGTGGGTCATCCCACAAAGATCCGGTGCGGGAGTGTGGTATCTACACATCGACCAAGAAAAAAAAACCCTGCGCAGGATCCAGGTGGAAACAAAGCTGCCTGGCTCTGCACATCAATGCTTCTCGGAGGAGCTATGGCTGATGGGCCTTCCTAGTGCAGGACTGGCCCCGAACAGTAGCAAGTGTAGAGTGCCTGGCCCCCAGGTCATCATGAAAACCAGAAGCAGCCACTTGGGAGGCTGAGGCACAATCACCTGAGCCCAGGAGGTCAAGGCTGCAGTGAGCTATGATCAAGCCACTGCACTCCAGGATGGGCAACAGAGCGAGACCCTGTCTCAAAAAAACAAGCACGTTTCTGAAGCCCCCCCAAGCCCACAGATGTGAGTGTGTGCGTGCGTTTGTGACAACCTGGTGCTTGGATGGGGCCCAGAGCAGGGGTTCTCAACCTTGGCCTGAGAGTCTTGCTCTGTCACCCAGGGTGGAGTGCAGTGGCACGGCCTAGGCTCACTGCAACCTCCACCTCCTGGGTTCAAGCGATTCTCCTGTGTCAGCATCCCAAGTAGCTGGGATTACAGGTGCCTGCCACCACGCCTGGCTAATTTTTGTATCTTTGGCAGAGACCAGGTTTCACCATGCCAGGCTGGTCTTCAACTCCCGACTTCGTGATCCACCCACCTTGGCCTCCCAAAGTGCTGGAATTACAGGCATGCGCCCCCGTGCCTGGCAGATAATTCACATCCAAATCAACTGGGGGTGGGCCTCAGGCACCAGAGTTTTTTGTTTGTTTTGAGACAGGTCCTGCTGTTGCCCATGCTGGATTAAAAACAGCTCAGTGGGCACAGTGGCTCACACCTGTAATCCCAGCACTTCGGGAGGCCAAGGCAGGCGGATCACTTGAGGTCAGGAGATTGAGACCAGCTTAACCATCACAGTGAAACCCCATCTCTACTGTACAAAAATCAACCAGGTGTGGTGGCCCAAGCCTGTAATCCCAGCTACTCGGGAGGCTGAGGCAGGGAACCGAGATCACGGGACTAGACTCCAGCCTGGGCAACAGAGTAAGACTGTCTCAAAAAACAAACCAGAACTTCTGGGCTCAAGCAATCCTACGCCTCAGCTCTGAAGCAGCTGCAATTATAGATAGCAGCAGCCACTGCCTCCAGTGAGTACCAGTGTTTTCAAAAACTCCCCAGTGGATTCCATCACGCAGCCAAGGCCGAGAAGCAGTGGCATCGAGGAGCCTTGTCGTTCGTCCAGAAATAGCATCAAGTTCCCATCCGCTAGAACAGTTTCCATGTCAGGCTGCGCTCATGGGCGGGCATGGCCTCTCTGCAACATGCCGAACGTGCCAGTCGGTAGGCAGCACACACAGGAATCATGCCCTAGGGTACCCAGGGACAAGCTGAAGCCAGGCCTACAGCACACAAGGGCTGCTCTGAAGAAACACGGGAGGTCCTCGCTGGAGGGTCTGGGGCCACACAGTGAGTCCAGAGACTGAACCAGTAGGAGACAGAAATAGGGAAAGAGGACAGGCTCACCCAGCCGTGGGGCTGCAGGCTGGACATACAGTGGGCATGGATGCCTCCCTCTGAGGCAGAATTCCTTCTCTGGGGAACATCCAGTTTTGCTCTGAAGGCTTTCAGCTGATTGGATAAGGCCCACACGTTCTCAAGGATGATAATCTTTAGGTGAATCTACTGTAGGTGTTCACTGTCTACAGCAGCACATGTTCACAGGTCACTTAGGTTCCTGTTGATGAGATCACTGGGCCCCACAGCCTCTGGCTGACACAAGACTGACAAGCACACACACAAACTCCAGAAATACCCAGGGCAAGTTCTTCCACTTCCCTGCCATAAGCAACCAGTACTGTCCTTTGTGAGGTTGGCAAGGTGGGTTCAACAGATCACAAGCAGTGATCATGCTGTCAAACCAGCAGTGGCAGGCGTATGTTCCATCCAGAGAGGGACCGTAAGGGTTTGGAGGACAGCGTCTGCACAGGCGGGGGCCAGAAAGCTGAGGTCAGTCAGTCTGGACTGTCAGTCACTCCGGACTGCCCATGCAGCTTCACCCAGCAGCGCTCATGCCTGAAGATACTGCCACAGGCACACCAGCTACTTGCTGAGCCCGGAAGCTCAGATCCACTGCTCAGATTCACCCAAATGCCTACTCTGTCGGGCCCCAGTGGCAGCACCCAGATGTCTTCAGAGTGCAGGAGCCTCCCCATGGGACTGGGTGGGCTGGGCCCAGCTTGGGGGTCTGCTAACAGCCAGTGGCATCTCCGCCTGGGTCTGACCCTTTTCTGGGCCCATTGCTCTCTGACCCTGGGCTCACCACCCTAATCCCAAGCGCAGCTCCTACAAACATGGAGCCCTGGGCCATGACAGGCTGGTTCCCGAAAACATGGAGCCCTGAGCTGTGATGGGCTGGTCCCCGAATCCCTGTGCCCCACCCCACAGGCTTGGGTTTTTGGTATCCCACAGGCTCTTCACTCAGCCCAGTCAGACCCAAGATCGCCACACCCCAGCTAGCTGCTGGCAGCCAGAAGCTGGGGGCCAGCCCTACCCCACCAAACCCTGTTCACCTCCAAGTGCAGGTACTGCCTCTGTGTAAGAGGCACCTGTCACCACAGCTCATTTGTAAATGAAATGTCATCCCAAGTCCCTCTACATTTCCCTCCTGCTCCAATAGATGCTACAGCATCACCCAATGGTTGACACATCGCTCTGGTCACAATCTGTGGCTGCTTGGCTCATCTGTGCAGGTGAGTCCCTCCCAGGCACAGGTTCAGGCTGGTCAAAAGCAGTGAACAGATCAAGCCCTGGCACTGTCCAGCCCTTGCCATCTGAGGCTTGGCCAGCAGAGGGCGCCCCTTTTCTCCAGCTGAAGCTCCCACGACCTGGACCTGTGCCCAGAAGTGGCCTCAGGACAGCGGGAAGCAGGCCCTGGACATGGGCATGGTAATCAGGCACAGGCCCCAGTCACAAGCACAGAGCCCCAAGGGACAAGCCCATCTGCAAAACCTCTTTAATCAGAATAAATAAGAGTCACAGGGCAGAGTTCACTGGGGGTGCCCAAGCCGGATTCACCCACCCTTCTAGCTCCAGCCTAGCTTTCAAGAGGAGTAGTAGAGTGTCTTCCTTGTTCTGGTATCCAGCGGGGTCACGGGGAGACACCAGTGTGGTCTCAGGGTGCTGGGCGGGCCCTCAAGGGCCCATCCCTGTCCCCCTAGGCATCCCGTTCATCTGTGAGCAGGGTAGGAGGTATGGCAGCCTGGCCTGTCCTAACCCTGCCAGAAAAAGATGTCAGCGAGGGAACCCCACAAACGTCAACATCCCTGCAACCTGGCTGGGCACAGCCAAGGCCAAGCAAGGACAGGCCACATGCCCCACAGTCTTTCTCCTGAGATTATTTCAAGTCCCTGTCAAAATGGTCAGGCTCCAGAGGCCAGAGAAGGTTCTAGAGAGAGTGAAGGCGGGCCAGAGGCCAGGGTGGGGACTTTTGTAGGTCAAAAGTGGTCAAGTATCAGCAATGTCGTGGTGCAGCCCCAGGGAGCCCCACTGTCCAGCCGTGGCCCCTCTCTCCTGGCTCAGAGTGGCCCCAAACCCTCCACGGACTCTCACCTGCTCCTCTCCTCCCTCTCCTTCCTCTCGTAGATGGAGTGAAGCTTGTTGATTAAGAAGATTTTGTCCTCCCCCTCCTAGAAAGTCCAGAACACAAAGGGAAGGAAAAGTTACCCATCCATCCATCAGCCCATCCAGAGCCACCCTGTTCCAAACTGCATTTGAGGGAAAACTCATGAGGTGTATTCAACATCACAAGCAACACAAAGGTAAAATAAAAGGTGAAAGAGCCACCAAAACAAGGACAAGGAAAAACCAAGAGCCAGGAATTGGGTATATGTGTGGATCTAAGCTTCCTACTGGCCAAAGTGAAAAGGGAAATGCGATCAGCAGCCCAGAGCCAGCCTGACTCAATTTAAAATCAGCCCTGCCACTTACTGACTCTGCCTTGGGTTACTATCTCTCTGACCTCAGTGGCAGCATCTGTAAAGGGGGTAATAACACACGTCATGAGGTTTACATTAGTTTCCTGCTTCGGCCATAATGAACTATCATCAACTTCATAGCTTAAACCACCACCAGTCTCTCATCTTTGAGTTCTGGAGGTGAAAAGTCCAAACTGAGTCTCACCAGGCTACAATCAAGGCATCGTTAGGGCTGCATTCCTCGTGGAGGCTTCTGGGGAGAATCCCCTTCCTCGCCTTTTCCAGTTTCTAGAGGCCCCAGCAGTCCTTGGCTCTCAGCCCTGTCCTCCACTTCGAAGCCGGCAGTGGCCTCTCAAGCCCTGCTCACATGGCACCACTCCGACCCTGACCCTCTGGCCTCCATTTCTCGCCTCTAAGGACCCTGAGATCATGCTAGGCCACCTCAGTAATCTGGGGTCATCTCCTATCCAAGGCCAGCTGACTGGCAACTTTAATTCTACCTGAAACCTTAATTCCCCAAGCCACATAACAGTCACAGTTTCCAGTTTGAGGATGGGGACTTCTTTGGGGCCAGTCCTAGAGTGAACCAGGGCTCTCTCGACAATGAAATGTGACAAGCAGAGGGGGCACTCAGCATAGGACCTGGTGCACAGGAACCCCGATCACCGGCACTTGGGTCGGTGCCAGGAACCTTCACAAAGAGGACAGAGCAGTTCTGTCAGGGTCCACGCGGACTGGCTCTGGGCACCTGGCAACCTGGCGCAGCCTAGGAGGATCACATAGATCACCTTCAAGGAGGGACCACAGGCCCCTTAAGCAACATCCCAAGCTGCTTCTGTCGAGTTGCTGCTGAGGACAGAGGGGCTGTGCGTGTGAGCCATGACGACCTGCCTGGGGAAAGCTCAGGTCAGGCCCCAGAGACTGGGGTCAGAGCTCGGCCTTGGGTAGCCGCTGCAGCCAGCATCTTCGAGGAGAAAGCTCCTCCCCATCCCAGAGCATCAGCCTGTGGAGGGAGCTGGGATTCTCCACCCCTGCATTCCCTGCCCACCCCACCTGGCCCCGGGGGGCTCTCAAATGCCACCCACTAGGGCAGGAGCCATTTCCCACTTCCAATGTCTACAGCCAGATGACCACTGCAGTTGAGATGTCCAGCTTTCAGCTCTGTGTGGCCAAATGGAAAAGGCAGGAGATGGGACAGTGTGCACAACCCAAGAAACAGGGGAGCTGTCCCCATGAGCTCTTGGGACGAGCTGCCTGGAGCCTTGGCTCCTGGCACCAGCTAGCCAGCAGCAGGGTCACATGTCTGCCAAGGCCCACTGGCTGCAGCCCACCCTGCCCTCGCCTTAGAGACACCCACCACTGACCCTGACAAGCCCCCCCGCCCCAAGCCCTGGTATGGAGCATACCTGAGGACACCGGCATTCGCCAGCCCCAGAGTGAAATACTGCAGGAGGAGAGGACAAACAGCAATGGGAGGGGACCGGGAGCCCTGGTGGGGGTGGGGCAGACCAGCAGCAGGACACATGCCGGGAAGGCCAAGACCTGCCTCTCAGGCCATTCTCCAGGGGAAGAGGCCTCAGGGAGGAGGCCAGGCTGGGTGGCCCGGGGGATGGGGGCAAAGTGCCTTGTGTCCAGCTTGGCGGCTGTCCAGTGGGCAAGGTGGTCCTCCTGGGCAGAGAGGAACAGAGGGAGTGGGCACAGGGGCCAGCTGCTGGGTGAACAGTCCTCCTGGGGGCTGCCCCTAGGATGTGGGGTCTCACCCCCCTATGCAGCTCACTCCCATGACAGCATGAGCCTCATTAGTGCCCTCTGCTGCCCAGGCTGGAGTGCAGTGGCGCGATCTCGGCCGATTTTCCTGCCTCAGCCGATTTTCCTGCCTCAGCCGATTCTCCTGCCTCAGCCGATTCTCCTGCCTCAGCCTCCTGAGTAGCTGGGATTATAGGCACATATCACCATGCCCAGCTAATTTTTGAATTTTTATAGAGACAGGGTTTTGCCATGTTGGCTAGGCTGGTCTCGACCTCCTGACCTCAAGTGATCCACTCCCTTCAGCCTCCCAAAGTGCTGGGATTACAGGCCTGAGCCACTTGCAACTGGCCCTTTTTTTTTTTTTTTTTTCAATGAGATAGGTTTTCACTGTCACCCAGGCTGGAGCGCAGTGACACAATCATACAATAATAGCTCACTGCAGCCTCCACCTGGGCTCCAGCGATCTCCACCTCAGCCTCCCAAATAGCCAGGACTACAGGCGCACACCACCACACCCAGCTAACTTTTAAGTTTTCGTAGAGACAAGGTTTCGCTATGTTGCCCAGTCTGGTATCAAACTCCTGGGCTCCAGCCATCCTCCCACCTTGGCCTCCCAAAGTGCTCGGACTACAGGTGTGAGCCACCGCGCCCAGCCCAACAGTGTTTTCTTCAAAAAACTATTTTCAGTCCTGGCCCTCCTTCAGGCTTACTGCACCTGTTTGCAAAATGAGTGCAGGGTTCGCGGGAACTCAAAATCCATTTCCAGGATCTCAGAAGTCCTCACGGAGACCGTCTGAACCCTCAAGCGGGGGCCACACCCTGGGGCTGAAATCACACCCGCCCCCAGGGCCCTAGTCCATGGGTTCCTGGAGGTCCCTAGGGATCTGTCTCATGGCTGCTTTGTCACTTGCACTGAAGTGCACGTGTTGCTCAGGGTCACTTGTTTGGCAACCAACCCTCTCAGCAGCTAAGGCCTACAGGGGAAGGTATGCAGGTGCTGGGGATGAGCTGGCAGGGGAGTGGAGGGGAGTGTCACACAGATGACTGAGAAGGTGGGGGCCAGGGTAGCCGAGGTGGGGGCACTCACATTGCTGATCTGCTCCTTGAGCAGACAGATGACCTTCCGCTGGCCCCGCACCACCTGGATGTTGAGATAGATCACGGCCCTGCAGGAGAGGGGCTATTGGGTCAATGCAGGCCCATCGAAGGCCATCTCCCCAGGGCCACCCCCACCTGCGGGACTCACAGCAGCAGCGCCGACACCAGGAAGACGAAGAAGGTGTTTTCCACCAGGTACTGGTGCACCCAGGGCAGCCAGGAGACCCTGGGGCCCCCCGCCTCCAGGTGGCGCACCCACACCCTGCCAGCCTCGTACATGGTGTCCAGGGTCCGGAAGGGGCCACAGATGCCTGAGGGCTTCACGCTGGGGAAGAGGCCATCCAGGAATCCCCAGCCTGGGCAACAGCCCACCCGGCTCCCTCCCAACCTGTCTTCACCCCAAGCCTTGGCCCCCCGGGCACCACCACCCAACCCCAGGATGGCACAGAAGGGTCTCCCTCCACCCGCCTCACTCACTGCCAGACGGCGTAGCAGAGGAAGACGGCGGTACCCAGGAAGGCGGGGAAGCAGAGCAGCGTGAGGAAGACGGTGCTCATGTGCGAGGCCAGCCAGGGCCGCCGCGGCGCCTGGCAGTTGGCCAGAAGGCTGGCCTGTGGGGAAAGGCTGCGTTCCGCCACCGTCCTGCCACCCCTCAGCACCCTCCAAAGCCTGGGGGAGCTCAGGAGGGAAGGGCGACCGAGGCTGTGTGTCCAGGCAGAGCCCAGGACAGGAGCCTGCTCCCTGCGGCTACCTCATTTACAGAGGAAGACGGAGGCCTGCAGGTCACCCGCACGCAAAGGGGTGATGCCCACAGCACCTCCGTCCGCTGAAGGTCACTGCCATACCAGGCTCTGCACATAACACGCTACACACCACCTCCCTCAGTCCCCACTGGAACGTGGTCCCCATTGTGCAGATGAAGAAACAAGGCCAAACAAGACAGGAGCCAGGATGGGAACAAAAGTCCCAGTTTTCAGCCACTGGGCATGCCCCGGTTGAGGACAGAGGACCAGGGTCACTTTCCCAGGGACCCAGAGGGCTGGAGGGAGGCTTAGTGTCTCCAGAGCCCTGGCCCTGGCCCTGGCCAGGTGCACACAGGCACCCGGTGATAACCTCTGAACCCAGCGAATGCTCCCCGGCCTGCCTGACCTCAGGTGATCCGCCCACCTCAGCCTCCCAAAGTGCTGGGATTACAGGCGTGAGTCACCGCACCCAGCTCCGGTCTGCCAAAGACAGCGATGCCAGGAGGGGTCAGCCACCCCTTGGGCTGAGGAACAGAGCCCAGGGCAGCCAGGGCTGCCAGCCACACTCCACTCTCATGGGAAGGGTTCCAGTGTCCCACGCTCTGCCCACAGAGTCCTGCCCCACTGCCAGGCCACCCTGCCAGCCCAGCCCTAGGCAACCTCACCTTCTTGATGTAGAAGACAAGCAGCAGCTTGATGATCTGCACAGCAGGGAGGAGGGGCGAGAAGAGCACCCCCAGCCTGGGGAGGAACGGCAGTTCAGGGACCGCTCCAGTGCCCCCACACACACACCAGGCCGCTTCCAGACCACAGGCAGGGCAAGTGAGAGTGGCCACAACTGGGTCCCCAGGGTCAGGGCCTGCATCACTCCAGGATCCACGGCTGGGCCTGGCTGTGGCCTCGGGGAAAGGGGCACCAACCTAGGGGCCAGACAGCAGGAGGCAAGCGGAGGCCCCTCACCAGGTCAGAGTCTGCCCATAAATCAGCTCCAGCACATTCCGGGCAATGTCAAACTCAGGCTTCCGCCTCCTCTTCAGCTTCTTCTCAGAGATAATCCTGCCACCAAGGAGGACCCGGGAGAGTTAGATGGAACAGCCACATGCAGGGAGGCGGGCCCAAGTCCCCACACCCAGAGGCACCCCCATCCAGGTGACATCCTGGCCCTTCCACAGATAATGCCAAGGACAAACAGCCACCAGCCTGGGAGCCCCCAGGGGCTTGGTCACACTGGCCTCATCCTAAGTAGGTTCGGATACACCCAGTGCTAAACAACAGTATTAACTCCAGCACTAAGTGATTGTTTTCTTTCTTTATAGAGTCTGCCGTCCAGGCTGGAGCACAGTAGCACAATCACGGCTCATGGCAGCCTTGACCTGGGCTCAAGTGATCCTCCCACCGCAGTCTCCCAAGTAGCTGGGACTACAGGCACACACCACCATATCCAGCTAATTTTTATTTTTAGTTATTTTTAGAGACGAGGTCTTGCTCTGTTGCCCAGGCTGGTCTCAAACTCCTGGGCTTAAGTGATCTTCCCACCTCAGCTTCCCAAAGTGCTGGGATTACAGACAGTGTGAGCCACTGCACCAGGCCTCCTACTGATTTAATCTTATTATTATTATTATTAAATTCATATATTCTCGAAGAAAACACCAAGAGGAAAAAACAGCTGGAGTGCCAGGAACCTGCAGAATACCTGAAATTTTTTTTTTTTTTTTTTGAGACACAGAGTCTTGCTCTTGCTCTGTCACCAGGCTGGAGTGTGGTGGTGTGATCTCAGCTCACTGCTACCTCCATCTCCTGGGTTCAAGCAATTCTCCTGCCTCAGCCTCCCGAGTAGCTGGGACTACAGGCATGCGCCACCACACCCAGCTAATTGTTTTGTTTTCACCATGTTGGCCAGAATGGTCTCGATCTCTTGACCTAATGATCTGCCCGCCTCAGCCTCCCACAGTGCTGGGATTACAGGCGTGCACCACCGCACCTGGCCTGGAACATTTTTAAATGTTCCTCCGCTGTCTGTTCCCTACCGCCTGCTTTTCCTTTGCATCCTAGACTGAGGTTGTGAGATACACACTTTGAAACTGTTTTCCTTTCCAATCTAAAAACGAGTTAGGTTCTGTTCCCTGCGTTTTCCTCTGAAGGGTGGAGACACAGGGCCCTGATTTGAAAGATCCAGGTCAGAAAAGCTCCCTGGTCACGAGCTACAATGGGGAGAATGCTCCCCCTAGCCCCGCCCAGGGTGCCCAGAGGGCGCTTGAGGGACTCAGAGGTGGGCAGATGGGCCCCCTCACCTCCACACCAGTTCCCCGAAAAGCGTGTCCAGCAGCATGAGGATGAAGTCCATCACCAGGAACCGGTACAGCTCCTGGCCCACAAAGTCCTCCCAGCACTGGCCCCGCAGGACGCCCACCCTGCGGCCCAGCCAGTGGTAGCACAGTGTCCCCAGGATGGCCAGCTTGAGGATGAGATTCCTGTGGAGGACGGGGCGCAGAGGCTGAGGCATGGGTGCAGGAGACAGAAGGTGCACCCCGGGGCCCCCACCAAGGGCTTGGTCACCCACGATACACCCAGAGCCAAACAAGCGGTACCAGCTCCAAAGGGTGTTTCCATGTGCAGCCACACACCTACAGATGGCCACGTACACCTCCAGCACCGGGGAGTCATGCGGCTCCAGGGCAGCCAGGATGCGGCACAGGTAGGGGGCCCCCAGGTTGAGGAGGCCAACCACCAGGGGCAAGACCAGCAGCGCAGCCTCCTTGCCAGCAGCCTCCAGACTCTGCAGGGGTGCAGGGAGCGGTGTCACGGAAGCCCCCCCATCCATGGTGGGAGGGGGCAGCTATAGGAAGGGGCCGGGGTGGAACTGGCAGGTAGCACCTCCCTCCTCCAAGCTCTGGCCCTCCCCAGTCTCAAGTTCAAACCACACAGGAAGTGGGAGGGGCACAGGTCGTGGAAAAGAAACAAGAAACCAAAAAAAAAAAAGGCCATGAGAAAAGACAAGGGCGAGAAGTGGGGCTGGGAGGGAGCCCCAGCACGGGCACAGTGCACACAGCACCCTGGCCTGGCTGGGTGGAAGAAGGGAGGCAAGGCTGTCTCCCCAGGGGGCTGGGGACACGTTCCCAGCAAAGGCCAGGCTCCCCCCAATCCCCGCACCTGGATCATGAACTCGGAGAAGACGTGGACGGCCACAGCGCAGCCAAGCGCTGTCCCCAGACACAGCAGCCACGTGAGCCCCAGTGCGGCTGCCTGCCGCAGCCTCCTGCACACACTCCTGGGGCTCTGCCGCAGCTGCCACTCGGCCAGAAGCTCCTGCAGGCAGCACCGTGTCCCTGTCACCCACACCAGAGCACGGACACGTGCAGTGCACAGACACAGCATGACACACATACCACACACCAGGAGGCTTGACCCAGGACAGAGGGTCGGACCCCAACACCCCACCTGCCCTCTCCCCTGTCCAGAGCCCTCCCTCCACACAGAAAGGACCCAGTCCCCTGCTGGGAGGCCCCTGTGCCTGGGCTGGCATTCACTCCCGAAGCCTGCCTCAACCCCTCTCCACCTGCCTCCCAGCACTGCCTGCTGGGGCCAGGGCCTTGCTCAGAGGTCCCTTCCTGTTCCTTGTGGATATGGGTGGCTCCCCAGTAACGAGAAGGGCCCCGTGGAATGACTGCTGACAGGTCACAACTCTGAGCTCCTCAAAGCAGAGAACCCCAGAAAGGCAGAGAATGTTCCATGAGCCCCAGCTCTGCAGCCTCCTGGCCCTGAGACCTCTGCAAGGGCCTTGGCCTCTATGCCTCAGTCTCCTCACTCTGACACAAAAGATGACAGTCAGCCGGGCGCGGTGGCTCACGCCTGTAATACCAGCACTCTGGGAGGCCGAGGTGGGCAGATCACAATGTCAAGAGATCGAGACCATCCTGATCAACACGGTGAAACCTTGTTTCTACTAAAAATACAAAAATTAGCTGGGCATGGTGGCGCGCACCTGTAGTCCCAGCTACTCAGGAGGCTGAGGCAGGAGAATCACTTGAACCCAAGAGGCGGAGATTGCAGTGAGCCAAGATTGCACCACTGCACTCCAGTCTGGGAAACAGAAAAAAGAAAAGATGACAGTCCTCACGCCCTGGGCGCCTAAGGCCACCAACCAACCTAACACCGGCCAGGGAGTATGTGCCAGCTAGGGCCTGAGGCCTCGGGGCTGGCTCCTGGGTGCTCACTGGGCCATGATGCTACCACCCACTACCAGACAACAGAGGCAGCACCTAACTGAGGGGCGGGTACCCAAGCAAAACCCAGGCCTGCCTCATCACTGCAAGCAGAAGGCCACGCCTGCCCAGTGCCCGGAGTTCAGCTCACAGACAGATGGCCCTCCCTCTAGAACACAGTTCTGGCTGTGGGGTCCTAAGTGGGCCCAGGGCCAGGCCTGCAGGGAGCTGGGCAGGCCAGCTTGGTGCTCCAGGGCCCAGGGGTGGGGGCTCCCAGGGCCGCTCACCTTCAGCCGGGTGCGAATGTTGTCCTGCTGGAGGCGGGAGGCCCGCTTCTGCGTCACCTTGTAGTCCCAGGAGCAGAAGACGGTGATGGCATGGATGCCAGAGGTGCTGCCCACCCGGTAGCTCTCCCCAAAAGAGTGAGCCATGCTGAGGAGAAGCACACACAGATAGGGCCACCGACAGGCTGAGGGGGCAGAGGCCAAGGGGAGAAGGCAGACAGGACACTCTTGGCAGGCAGACCCCACCACCTGCTCAGGAGCCATCTGGGCCCTGCATGGGCCTCCTGCCATGCTCCTGCTCCACTCCCAGCCCTCTATACCAGTCTCATCCAATATGGCACCCACCAGCCACATGTGCCTAGAAGAAGGGGCATGGCTGCATTCACACTGACTCAGCTGGCTGCCTCCCAGCGAGACACAGACCAGAACACGCTGGGCTCACCTCAGGGCCTTTGCACTGCTGGTCCCATTGACCAAAACACCTTTCCTGCTTCTTCACCCATCCCCACTCTTATTTAACCTTCCTCTCTCACGGCAAGTGCCACCTCCCCTGAGAAGCAACCTGACTCCTTCCCCAATGCTCCCATAACATGGGAAACACCGCTAAGGCTCCTAGATTGTCCCAGCCCAGTGGTCCACCTTCTCCCAGAGACAGCACGCCACCCCACCCCAGGACAGGCTCTATGCTCATTTACCATCATGCCCTGAGCTGATCACAGGAAATGTTTGTGGAATACGTAGATGTGTGTGTGGGTGGGTGGGTGGATATATTTGTAAATGATTGAATGGATGAGTGGATGGGTGGGTAGATGAATGAATGCGAATGGATGGATGCATAGATGGATGAGTGGCTGAATGTGTAGGTAGATGGATGAATGGGTGGGTGGGTGAATAGGTGGATGGGTATGTGAATGAGTCAGTAGATGAATGAGTGGAAAGATGGGTGGGTGGATGGGTGAATAGGTAGATGGGGGAATAAATGAGTAGGTAGATGAGTGGGTAGATGGATTTATGGGTGAATGGGTAGATGGGTGAATGGGTAGATGGGTGAATGGGTGGATGGGTGGATGGGTGAATGGGTGGATGGGTGGATGGGTAGATGGGTGAATGGGTAAATGGGTGGATGGGTGGAAGGGTGAATGGGTGAACGGGTAGATGGGTGAATGGGTGGATGGGTGAATGGGTGGATGGGTAGATGGATGAATGGGTGGATGGGTGGATGGGTGGATGGGTAGATGAGTGAATGGGTGGACGGGTGGATGGGTGAATGGGCGGACGGGCAGATGGGTGAACAGGTGGATGGGTGAATGGGTAGATGGGTGAATAGGTGGATGGGTAGATGGGTGAATAGGTGGATGGGTGAATGGGTGGATGGGTGAATGGGTGGATGGGCGAATGGGTGGATGGGTGAATGGGTGGGTGAGTAGATGAGAGCAGACAGGTGGATAGATGGGTAGAAGGAAGAAAGGGAAGATCAATGGCTGGGTCAAAGGATGAATGATGGATGGGTGGAGCTAGGGGCCTGGGTCATGCAGTGGAGGCGGTACCTGTACACCAGAGTGATGCAGGTGATGAAGAAGCCCACGCCCACGGTGAAGAGGTAGGCCAGGGGCATGTTGTAGGGCAGGCTGCCCGCCCCGGGTGAGCACCGGCCACCCTCCAGGGGTCCAGCACACGGCTGGTTCAGCGTGGCGTTACTGTAGTGACCATAGTACATGACAGTGTGGGTGAAGCAGCCCTAGAGCAGGGAGAGCCTCGAGTCAGGGACTCTCCACCCTCACCCCGACTTCAGGCCTGACAGCCACGGGGCAGGGCAGGGGAGGCAAGGGACACAGAGAGGGGCCAGGGCCACAGCAACCTTAGGCCTCCCAGCCCCATGGGAACCTGGGCACGATGGGCATCCAGGGGCATTGAGGGGGAGGCGGGGAGCTGGCTGTGGCCACCTGGAGTCACAGTCGGGGCCAGGGTTGAGAGCCCCAGGGGTGCTGGGACAAGAAAGGGACACGGTACCAAGGCAGCAGAGGACAGGCGCCCCCCAGCCCCTAGCCCTAGGGCTTCCTCACCGCGCCTGTGAGGAGCTCCAGGCCTGTGCAGACGGGGACAGGGCCCGGCAGGGCGGGCGGGAAGGCAGCCTGCGGGCCCACCATGAAGGCCAGCAGCAGCAGCAGCAGGAGGGCGTTGAAAGCCAGCAGGGTCTTGAGAAAGAGGAAGTAGGAGAGCACGCTGGAGCCGAACTGGCCCCCAATGCGCTTCAGGGCATAGCGCCACGGCGTCAGAGCCTGCAGGCTGGAGAGCAGCGCCAGCCCCAGGCTGTGCAAGGTCTGCGGGCACAAGCAGAGAGGCCCTGAGGGTGAGGCCGGAGGAGGGACCCAGGCGATAGGGCCTGGCCCAGCTGCCCAGCCCTGGGGCAGACCAGGGGTCCCTACCAGCACACAGGCATATCTGAGCCAGCCACAGCAGGAGAAGATGCTGCCGTGGCCCCGCTGGCCCCTCCACTTCCCCCTTGGGGTCCGGCTCTTCTCTCTGGGGGCAGAAGCAGCCATAGGTGCCCAGACCAATGAGGGGCCCGACTCCCTCCTTCCTGGGGACCAACCACCCACAGGCTCAGCCCCTTCTCCCGAACCACCCAGCCCAGCCTGGAGCTGGTGGGGGAGCAGGAGCCGGTGGCGGAGCAGGGCGCTCACCGCAGGCTGCGTTTCTCAGCCAGGCTTAAGGGCATCCCTCGAAGCATGTGATCCCGCTGCGCCACCGCCAGGCTCTGGAGCTCCCTCACCAGGAGGCTCTGCTTCTCTGCGAGAGGGAGAGACAGGTCCCATCCATCCCCAGTGCCCCTCCCTGCCGCCTGCAGCTGAGACCTGGACAGGCCTGTGTGCCCCTGAGGCACTGTCCTGACACATTGGTGCCCTTATCTGAGCCTGAATCGCAGCTTGTCCGTGTGTTTGCTTCAGTTGAGCAGGAAGCTCACAGACAAGACAGCGTGTTTCCCCTGCACTGTCCCCAGTGCGGGGGCCCAGGGTCACAACACTCCGAGCACTCCAAGATGCTTGTGAGGTAAGATCCCCCTTCCCTGTCCCTGTGGGTCCCTGCAGAGGGACGGGGGAGCCTTCAGGCAGCCTGCTAAGGGACAGGGGAGGGGGCCCCCCCGCTCTGCCGCACCCCAGCCCCCCTCCCCCACCCCCAGGCTGGCCTCCTGCACCCCCCACCATGCCAGTGTCTGCCACGGGGGCTCTGGTGCCCACTCACTCACCCTCCTCCTCCTGGGCCCTGGGGTCCAGCTCCAGGTCATACATGCGGAGGCTGGGCCGGGCAGAGCGCACCAAGTTCCCGAGCAGGGGCCGGCTGCTCCGGCGCCGAAGCTGCACCGTGCGGTTGTAGTACTGGGAGATGATGGCGCCCCGGCTGCGGCCTACGGAGGCGGCTGGGCAAGACTGGGCCAGGCTAGCCCAGGCCTCCCTCCCCTCAGGATGGGCTCACCATAGGCCTCCCTGTCCCTCGCCCCTTCCCAGGACCCAGGAAAATCCTTTCAGCAGAGACTCTGGGCACCACTGTGTTCCAAGAGACTATTTTTATCCCATGACGACTCTGGAGTCATTTTTGGAGCCCAGTGAGGGCCTCATGGGGCTGTCCAGGCAGCAGACGGGGTGGGCTAGGAACCCACGCTGGGCCTGGCTCTGAGCCACACAGATGCCTGGCGGAAAGCCCAGCCCGGCCCGGCCCAGCCCAGGCGCCAGGGCCGACTCAGGGCGAGGCCGAGGGTCCCACTCACCAATGGTGCGGCTGGGCATGCTGGCCAGGATGCGGAGGGTGGCTGCGCTGTGGGTGCCCTCAGACCCCAAGAGTGTGTGCTGGCCACTCCCTACAAAGCAAGACTCACCAGGGGTCCTGGAGATGCCTCTAGCCACTGTCTCTCCCACCCCACCCTAGGCCTGCAGAGCTGGGAGGCCCGTCCTGAGGGGCTAGGGCACCCCAGTCTCGGTCCACACCTCCCAGTAGCCAGGCCAAGCTCACCTGCGGCCTGCCTCGCTCTCTGCTGCAGCTCCAGCCCCTCCTGGGCCGCCCGCCAGCTCTGCTCTTGGATGAGCTGCTGGAAGGAGTCATGTACTTCGCTCTCATCATAGGGACTGGGCTCCTGGCTGCTGTGCGGAGTTCGGGGATCAGGCTCCAGCCGCCTCTCTCCTTCCTCAGGCCCCTGCCCTGGTGACCTCTCCATGGGGGTGGAACATTCTAGCCTCCAGCCCCCAGCCCCAGAGCACTTACCCCTGGTCCCCTGGGGTCTCAGGGACATCGAGGACAAAGGGCAGTGGTTGGGCCATGTCCACGGCCAACGCCCCGCCAGTCTGCAGACCTAGGCCAGCTCAGAGCCTGGACACTGCCTCCGGAGCCTCTTGCTGCCCATCTGACGAGACAGCGGCACTGAGCCAGAGCCCGCCTTCAATGCCTGGCAGGTGTCCACACTGCCCACTCCCAGGGGACCATGGCAGGTGCCACTCACAGCCCAGGCAGTCCTGCCCGCTCCCCCACCCCAGGTAAACTCTCGGTCAGGCCCAAATAAGCCTCATGCCAGAATGGACTGGGGGCCCCTCTGGTGTCTGGGGAGGGGAGAGAGGAAGGAAGGGTGTGGGTCTGCAGTTCCCTGTCTGTTCCCTTGATGTTGCCAGTCCCTGGGAAATGGGGAAGAGGTGGGGTGCCTGTAGACACAGCCCTTTCATACTCTCCATTCCCAGGGTTCTGGCCCAGAGATACCTCCTTTTTGGAGAGAAAGGGCAGGGCAGGCTGGAGGCCTCTGCGTCTGCCCTGTGACCCCAAAGCACTTCCTCTAGCAGGAACTCAGCTGCTGGAGCCCTCACCCCAGCCCCAGGCGGAAGCAGCAGACAGGACGCTCCTCCCCCACACAGCAGTCACTCCCACCACCCCAAGGCTCCAAGGTCCTTCTGTTCTCAGAAGACCCACTCTCCCACATTCCATCATCCAAGGGAGGCCAACTGGGGAGGGGTGGCCAGGGCCTCAACAGGCCTCCTTTGTCCTGGCTCTGCCGTCACCCGGCACAATTGGAACCAGAGCTGCCTTGCCAGGGGCCCTGGCTCCAGGCCAATTCACCCTGCAGGAGTGGAGGCAGGACTGTGTCCCAGCCACCAGCCAGTGCCCCAGGCCTCTTCCCTGGGATTCTCCTGCCCTCACCCTCAGGGAACTCAGGGCTCCGGGCTGGGTGGAAAGTTGCTTACTCAGCCAGCCGGCCAGCCGAAGCCCGGGTGCCTAGACAGGACAGCTCCCTGCAGGGCCGACAGTCACAGGGCCAGATGGTGCCCACCCTCAGTGTCCAGGGTGCCATCCTCAGGCCAGGCCCCACACCACCAGCCCTCCCCTCCCTCCAGCAAGAGTAAGAGGTGGGAAAACCAGCCCAGAGCTGGGCCCGAGGCAGCCCCCACCCAGCCTAACCCGGGACAGCTGCTGAAGGAGGGGCTGAGGGCACCCCATCCAGTCCCTAGAGCTGGAATCCCTTCCTCCAGTCAGGCCCTCCGAAGCTCAGGGGACCTGGTGACCCAGCGCCCCAGCACCCTGCCCGAGGCCCGGGCAAGCCCAGCGGAGTTTCCGGGGCGCACCATTCCTGAGCCTTGAGCCAGGTGGGGAGGGGCTGGGTGACGCCCGCTTCCAGGAACCCCCACCGCAGCCGGCAGCGAGCTCCCCGGGAGCAGCCGCTACCCAGGGAGAGCAGCAACCCGGCCCCGTAGCCCAGGGCGGCGGCAACTCGGGGGCCACCGACCCCCGTCCAGCCGGCCTCCCTGTTCCCTGCCCCTCGCGGCCAGTGGTCCGGCCTGCGCGACCCGGCCTCCCCGCCCCTTCCCATCCCGGCCGCTTCCCTCCCTTCCCCGGTGCCCCGGGGCCCGGCTGGGGGTTCTGGGGCTGCCCTCCCCGCCCTTCCCTTTCCCAGCTCGGTCCAAGCCGGAGAGTCAACCCCGGGAGCAGCGGGGAGGGAACCCGGCTGCCAAGGGGCCCCAGTGGCCGAAAGGAGGGCAGGAGGGGTTGCCGCCGTTCCTGCAGGGGAGAAGCGACCGCGGCTGGCAAGACCCGCGCGCCGCCCCCACTCCCACCCCGCCGGGAGCGGCAGCCCCGCGGGACCCGGAACCGGGATCGCGGCCGCTCACCTAGGAAGCGCCTGGGAGGAGGGGCCGCGCGCGCAGCCAGGCTCACCTGTGCCCCGCCAGGGCCGCCGGGAACCGAGGGAGGGGCCGCGGGGTCAGTGGGAAGGAGCGGCAAAGGACCCCAGGGGGCCAATGGGCCGACGCAGGTCCGGCGGGGCCGGGTTGAGCTGCACCGCCCGGCCCACGTGGCGATGGGCCTTGGCTGTCACGTGGTCCCGCCTGCGGCGCCCCCTTCCCTCCTCCGGGCGCCCCGCGGCGACTGTGCCTTCCTCCTCTGCCAACTTGCGACCCCTCCTCGCACCGCATTCTGAGGTCTGAGCCGGGTGAGGGGGGCCGAGTGTCTGGATTCATCCGAGTCCCTGGCGGAAGTCCCCAGTTTTTGTGAGACTCAGTTTCCCCAAGTTCCAAAAAGGGACGATAATTCCAGACCCATCTGCTTCCCATGGTTAGGGATCATCCATGTAAGATGCCACTGAAAGCCCGAGGAACACAGTCTTTCACACCAGATTGGGAAACCCCCCGCCCCAACTGCAAGCCTCCTGCTGACTCTCCCCGACCCACGCTGGGGGAGCCTGGTTATCTCCCCCTCCTGACACCCGGGTGGGGCTCATTGTTTATCTGTAAGAGTTCTGGCTCACTTCCTGTGTGCTGTGTGGAGAGGAGGGGGTGAAACGAGGTCACGCTGACACTTAACCTGAAAGTCCCAGGTGCTGGACCTGAAGGTGCTTTACCTGTTGCTCTATTTTCTGTTATTCCCCATGAGCCAGGAAGGTATGCACTGATATTCCCATTTCGCAGATAAGGAAACCGAGGCTGAGAGAGGTTAATCACCCTTTAGGGTGCCCCCATGCAAAGCATGAGACTTGGTGGTCCACCTGGGAACCCTATGGAGGAAACTGGCTTTGGAGATGGCACCCCCCACCCCAAGCCCATTTGAAAGGGAGGGTCATTCCTGGTGGGGAGAGGCCATGAAGGAGGAGAGTGAATGTGAGCTGGGGCCCAGGAGGGCAGGAGAGGGTGCTGCTGCCAGGGAGAGCAGGAAGGCAAAAGTGAGACCCAGGCAGGGGCTGAGGCTAGGGCCTTTTGCAGCTGCCAGTGTGGTCCTCAGAGGGCTACCCCAAGCTGGTTCTTGACAAGTGGCACCCTGGCATGAAGGCCCAGCCCCTGCCTCTCCTCTCACTCTTCCCCCTCCCTGCATACCCACACTGAATTTGCATGAAGGCCACCTCCTCTGGGGAGCCTCCCCAGATTGAACACTGGTGGAGCACCTGCCACTTCCTATTGACATGCACATCTGTGGCGCTGTGCCCCCTCCCACCCCAGCCCACTGTGCACCCAGCACCAGCACACGGCTCGGGCCTGACACACAGCAAGGACTCTGGAAACCAGGAAGGATGCCTCAGGCAGAGAGGGAGAAAAGCTATGAACATTCAGACCTGAGATGACTGGGCCCTATAGCAGGTGGAGAGGGAGCAGGGAGGAAGAGCTGCAGGGCCCCCCAGGGGCCCAGGGACAGGAAATTGGCAAAGGTGTGTCTTAAACATCTAGCCTGGGCAAGCACGAATGGAGCTGATTCCTGGACACTTACTATGGGCCAGGTGCCAGGCCTGGGCCTTGGCGCAATGGTAGAACCAATGACAGAGGCAAGAAGTCCAGCAGTAACACCAAGAGTATCTGGAAACCCAGCAGCTGGGGTTCAGGGGACCCCACCATTCTGTCATATCGTGCCCTCCAGGGGACCTGTAGCAGGCAGATAAAGAGCTTGGCCCAGGCGCAACCCCACCCTGTCAGGCTCCCAGGTCAGTCCCCGAGGGCAAACGGAGAGGGCCTCAGCCACAGGCCTGGCAGCCCTGGAGGCAGCCAGGGGGCAGACCCGGACCAGTGGACCCTAAGGCCACAGGAGACCGGGCTCCTGCACAGAGGGGAAGGAAGGGCCCGTCCCCAGACTAGTGCACACAGAGCTCCCAGGGAGCAGGAGCAGCCAGCGCCTGTCACCTGCAACTCTGCATCTCAGGGGCCCTCAGGAAGTGCCTGCTCAGCCTCAGTTTAGAGCAGAGGAAACCATGGGGTGGGAGGGGAGGAGGGAGGTAGTGGAGGGGGAAGCTGGAGTTCCTGTCACGTGAGCCCTCCCCTGGACTCCCTCACCGCCCTGCCTGCCTTGGCAGGAGCCGTCCGAGGAGGGGACTCCTCCAGGGACTTGGTCCCTTGGTCCCCAGGTGAGCTGGATGTCGAGTGGAGGGAGGATGCAGAGGGTGACGGGCTGTGGAGGGCCGGCTAGAGCCTCACAAGGGCAACAGTGGGTCCCCTGCTCCTGTTCCCACAGCTGGGGCTGTCGCCACAGCTCCTCCTCGGGGGGTCTTGGGGGTAGCTGGGCAGACCCAGGCTTGGAGGCTGGACCATGAGAAGGAAGATGGAAGGGGATCCCCTGACATCAGATGCAGCAGATGCTGAGTCCCAAGAACTGTGGGGTTGGGGACACAGGCTCTTCCGGAAGGGCAAACTGTCACATGGAGAAAATCGGGAATTGTCACTCTGCAGGGCGCAGGTGGGCGCCGGTGGGCTTGGGCACAGGTGGGCACAGGTGGGCGCGGGGTGCAGCAGGTCTTGGCATTGCCTGTGACCGTCCTTCTTTCTGTGCCCTTTGGGTCTTTCACTCCATTTGTCAGATGGGGAGACTGAGGCCAGAGCTGTGTGTCCCTCTGAGAGTTGCAGCAGGACTGAGTCCGGATTCGACCACACCAAGATTCTCTCTCCTCATTTCTGAGCCCTGGAGGCGGCCAGGCAACAGACCCGGGCAAGTGGACCCTCCGGTCGCAGGAGACCAGGCCCTGACACCGGTGCGGAGGGGAAGGAAGGGCCCGCCCCCAGCCCAGCGCGCACAGAGGCCAGGGCCAAGGCCTTGCGACTCATCCACCCGGGGCCCCACATCCCCCCCACCCGCAGCCCCGCGCCCCAGCCTCCACCCGCGCCCGCCGAGATGCTGCGGCCACAGTCGGTGCCGTCGGAACGAGGCCCTGGGGTGCCGGAGCCCGAGGAGCTGTGGGAGGCGGAGATGGAGCGGCTGCGATGTTCCGGGGCGCCAGTGCGCGGGCTGCCCTATGCCATGATGGATAAGCGCCTCATCTGGTGGGTGCCACGCGGACGCCGGACGGTGGGTAGGGGACGCTTCGAGGCTGCCCCGTCGGGTGGGGCGGGAAGACTCCCCCAGCCCATGCGCGTCTGACTGGCGCGGGCGGGCAGGGCGGGTGACTCAGGGTCCCCCCTGTCCCCACCCGCGTCCAGGCGGCTGCGTGAGCCCGCGGGAAAGCAGACCTTGCGCTGGCAGCGGTGGCAGCGCCGGCGGCAGACGGTGGAAAGGCGCCTGCGGGAGGCCGCACAGCGGCTGGCCCGGGGCCTTGGGCTCTGGGAGGGGGCTCTCTACGAGATCGGGGGTAGGACCCGCGCGAACCCCGCCTCCCCTTGCCCTCTCCGGAGCCCCACTGCCCAGATCGGATAAAGGAGGGAGGCATCATCCCACCCGCCTTAGGCCGGGTCCCCCGACCAATCAGCCCCTCCTCCCTCCCACCCACTCCGCCCGCGGGCACCGCAAACCTCAACCCCACGCAGCACCCCCAGGTGGCTGTCAGCCCCACCGCCGGACTCGCGTGAGTGGGAGCCGGGGGGCCACCCTGCCCTTGGACTCTTAGCCCGGTCCCGGCCTCCCTGGCCCACCCGGCTCTCCCTCCCACACCCCTGCAGGCCTCTTCGGCACCGGAATCCAGTCCTACTTCACCTTCCTCCGCTTCCTGCTACTCCTCAACCTGCTGAGCCTGCTGCCCACCGCGAGCTTCGTGCTGCTACCCCTGGCCTGGCTCAGCCCCCCTGACCCAGGCCCTGCCCTGAACTTAAGTAAGTGCGCGGACCACCAGGGGAAGAGCTCCGGTGCCCACCTGCGCCACCGGGGGCTGGCCCAGGGCCCAGAGCGCAGGGACAACCCTGGGCGTGCTCCTGCCATGCCGGGCCAGGGCCCTCTCTCCCTGACCCCGCCTTTTGTGGGGCACACCCTGGCACGTCCGCAGCGCCCTGCTCAGGCCTCTCCCCGCTGGGGCTATGGAGCGGTATCCGCAGGGCCTAGCCTCTGCCTCGTGGATCCCTCTCTATCAGCCCCTCCCTCCCAACAGCCCTCCAGTGCCCCGGAAGCAGCCAGTCCCAGACGGGCATTTTGAAGTTCCACAATCAAGTTTGGCATGTTTTAACTGGCAGAGTGAGTGGGGTTCATCCTGGCTGTGGTCCACAGAGTCTGGGAGATCCAGGGAAGTGGCTTCAGGGGACACAAGCCTAAGAGGACCTCCACCTCTCCAGGGGCATTTCAGCTCCTCCGTGATGGTCTTACACAGACAGACTGGGTTGGCCATTGGTGGGGTTAGAGACAGGCAGACACCGCTGTGCCCCACACGGACTCAAGGGCACATGCCTGTGGCCCCCGGAGCCCAGCTGGTGTAGGGATGCAAGGGACAAAAGGGGAAAAGTGTCCCAGCCTCTGGGAGAAGCACTTCCCCACCCTCATCCTGGGAAGCCATTGGGGGAGTGGTTCCCGGGGGAGGGGGGAGGTCCTGGGTTCCAGTTCTGGCTCTTTCTCAAAGCCCTGTGACCTGGGGCAGTTGCCCAACCTCTGTGGGCCTCTGTAAGATGGGACACTCCCTACATGGTGGGGTATTTCAGGGGGCTAATGAGCTCCTCTGTGGAAAGCACCTGAGCAGTGCCTGGCGCTCACCTGGGCTGGGCATCTCCATTGCTGTCCTCAGGCCCTCACCAACACCTACCTCTTCTATGGAGCTTACCGGCTGGGGCCTGAGAGCAGCTCAGTGTACAGTATCCGCCTGGCCTACCTCCTCAGCCCACTGGCCTGCCTGCTCCTCTGCTTCTGTGGAACTCTTCAGCGGTGAGAGGGAAGCCCACGCCTTCACCCATTGCTGGGGGCATCTTCCCTGATCACCCCTTCCTTGGCAGGGTACCCTCCCGCTGGCAGGAAGGCCCCTGGCCCCACACCGCTGGCTCCTGGGTGCCTCCTTAGCCCAGGCTCTGGCCGCAGACCTTATGAACAGGGCCACCACCCCCTGCCCTGACTCCTCACTCACCAGGGCCTGCACCTAGGGCTGCCAGGGCCTTCCCCACCCTGGCCCAGAGCCCAGCCGAGGCTGACGCTGGATGGTAGAGGTGCCCCTTCTCCAGCAGCCTCTGGTCTCCTGCGCTGCAGGATGGTGAAGGGGCTGCCACAGAAGACTCTGCTGGGTCAGGACTACAAGGTGCCTCTCAGCAGCAAGGTCTTCTCCTCCTGGGACTTCTGCATCCGGGTGCAGGAAGCGGCCACCATCAAGAAGCATGAGATCCGAAATGAGTTCAAGGTGTGTGTGTGAGCTTGTGTGACCGCACCAGTGTGTGTCAGCGTGTGTGAGCATATGTGACTGTGCCAGTGTGCATGAGCATGTGTGACCGCACCAGTGTGCATGAGCAGGTGTGACCGCGCCAGCCTGTGTGAGCATGTGTGACCGGTGTGACCGCACCAGCGTGTGTGAGCATGTGTGACCATGCCAGCCTGTGTGAGCGTGTGTGACCGGTGTGACCGCGCCAGCATGTGTGAGCATGTGTGACCGCACCAGCGTGTGTGAGCATGTGTGACTGCGCCAGTGTGCATGAGCAGGTGTGACCGCGCCAGCCTGTGTGAGCGTGTGTGACCGGTGTGACCGCACCAGCGTGTGTGAGCGTGTGTGACCGTGCCAGCCTGTGTGAGCGTGTGTGACCGGTGTGACCGCACCAGCATGTGTGAGCATGTGTGACCGCACCAGCGTGTGTGAGCGTGTGTGACTGCGCCAGTGTGCGTGAGCAGGTGTGACCACGCCAGCCTGTGTGAGCATGTGTGACCGGTGTGACCGCACCAGCGTGTGTGAGCGTGTGTGACCGTGCCAGCCTGTGTGAGCGTGTGTGACCGGTGTGACTGCACCAGCGTGTGTGAGCGTGTGTGACCGTGCCAGCCTGTGTGAGCGTGTGTGACCGGTGTGACCGCGCCAGCATGTGTGAGCATGTGTGACCGCACCAGTGTGTGTGAGCGTGTGTGACCGCGCCAGTGTGCATGAGCAGGTGTGACCACGCCAGCCTGTGTGAGCGTGTGTGACCTGTGTTACCGCGCCAGTGTGTGTGAGCAGGTGTGACCATGCCAGTGTGTGTGACCGTGTGTGGCAGCCTGTGGGAACGTGACCGAGAGCGTGCGAATGTGTGCAGATGTGTGGCTGCATGTGAGGTCACGTGTGACTGAAGGGGTGATGCTGAGGCCACATGTGGCTGAATGTGTGAATCTGAGTGTCTATGGGAGCGTGGCAGTGTGGGAGTGTGTGACTGCATGTGACAGCGTTTCCTGCACCTGTCTCTCCCACGCCCACCCCGCCTGGCCCACCCTGCCCTCAGCTGCCTCTGTCCCCACCCTTCCTGGCAGGTGGAGCTGGAGGAGGGCCGTCACTTCCAGCTGATGCAGCAACAGACCCGGGCCCAGAGGGTCTGCCACCTGCTCTCCTACCTGCGAGTCAACTTACTCATTGGGCTCCTGGTGGTTGGGGCCATCAGCGCCATCTTCTGGGCTACCAAGTACTCACAGGACAACAAGGAGGTACCAGGCAATTGAATTCATTTAATCCTGGTCAGAACTTCGTGGTGGGGGGAGATGGGATGATCCCATTTTACAGATGAGGAAACTAAGGCTCAGAGAAGTTAAATCGGTCGTGGCCACACAGGCCACGGCCAGGGCAGGCGGGCTCCCACCGGATATCCCCGCAGACTGCCAGGCTGCTGAAGGGAATGGCTTTTGGGCTTCCTTATTCCCAGCCTGCCCCAGAGTTACACTTTAGGGGGCTATGGGGGGCAGGGAGCCGACAGGGCCCCCCCAGCATGCAGCTCTCCTGACCTGCCTTTTCCCACAGGAGTCCCTGTTTCTGCTGCTCCAGTACCTGCCCCCTGGGGTCATCGCCCTGGTCAACTTCCTGGGTCCCCTGCTGTTCACATTCCTGGTCCAGCTGGAGAACTACCCTCCCAACACCGAGGTCAACCTCACCCTGATCTGGTGAGTGCCACCTTTAGTGGGGACAGGTGGGCATGTGGCGAGCCTGCATCCTGCTGCCCTGTTTTTGTTTTTGTTTTTTGGAGTGCAGTGGTGTGATCTCAGCTCACTGCAACCTCTGCCTCTCGGGTTCAAGCAATTCTCCTGCCTCAGCCTCCCGAGTAGCTGGGACTACAGGCTCCCGCCACCATGCCTGGCTAATTTTTTCTTTTTTAATAGAGACAGGGTTTCACCATGTTGGCCAGGCTGGTCTCAAACTCCTGACCTCAGATGATCTACCACCTAGGCCTCCCAAAGTGCTGAGATCACAGGCATGAGCCACTGCACCTGGCCACCGTTCTCTTTCGGTTGTCACCTGGCACCTGGGGTCCCCAGCTGAGAGGCTTCCCCGTTCACTAGTGGCTCAAGGGAAGGCAGGGGGACACCTCACAGCATACAACCTCAGGACCCCAGGTCTAAGGCTTTCCAATCCCCCACCTCTGAAGGAAGCCATCAGTGTGGACCAAGCTCTGGCCATTCAGTAGGGCAGGGGACTGCAGCCAGGGGTGCTGGGAATGGGCTTCTCACACAGAAAAACTGGCAACACAGGACAGGCAGAGCTTTTACACCCTTACCTGGACAGCCCTCATGTGACCTATCTCTACTAAAATAGTGAAACCCCGTCTCTACTCAAAATACAAAATCCCAGGCTGGGATGGTGGCTCATGTCTGTAATCCCAGCACTTTGAGAGGCCGAGGCAGGCAGATCACCTGAGGTCAGGAGTTTGAGACCAGCCTGGCCAACATGGTGAAACCCCATCTCTCCAAAAAAAAAAAAAAAAAAAAAAAAAAATATATATATATATATATATATATATATATATATATATATATGTAGGTAGGTAGGTAGATAGATAGATCCCCTTCTTTGAGGGATGAGGAAACTGAGGTTCACATGGGTGAGGTCCCCAGCCAAAGTCAAGCTCACTGTGCCTGCCAGGGGCAAGTTAAAAGCAAGCCCTTGACCTCCTGGGCTCCAGCCATCCTCCCGCTGGAGCCGCCAGGACTACCACCCCAAGGCTCTGCCACCTTCTGTCTCAGCACTTAGATCCTGTCTAGATCCCCTCCTCCTCCACCCCTCACCTAGCCGCAGAAATTCTGTGTGAAGCCCACCTGAGCTCCCACTGGCTCCTCTCCCACTCCCCCCACCCTCACCCACCACTTGCCCTAACTGCTTTTCCCTCTGCTTCCTCAAAGTCAGCTGTGTTTGGTTTGCTTTGAAACTTTAGCTTTTGAGGGCAGGCACGGTGGCTCACACCTGTAATCCCAGCACTTTGGGAGGCCAAGGTGGGCGGATCACCTGAGGTCAGGAGTTTGAGACCAGCCTGGCCAACATGGTGAAATCCCACCTCTACTAAAAATACAAAAATTAGTCGAACATGATGTGGGGTGCCTGTAATCCCAGCTACTCGGGAGGTTGAGGCAGGAGAATCACTTGAACCCGGAGGCGGATATTGCAGTGAGTAGTCATTGTGCCACTGCACTCCTGGATGAGAGAGTCAGACCCTGTCTCAAAAGAAAAAACAAAACAAGAAACACCTTTATTTTTTGAAGAGTTTATAACATATGCATGTACTGAAAAATTAAAAATGCTCGGCTGGGTGCGGTGGCTCATGCCTGTAATTCCAAGACTTTGGAAGGCGTGGGCGGATCATGAGGTCAGGAGTTCGAGATCAATCTGGCCAACCTAGTGAAACCCCGTCTCTACTAAAAATGCAAAAAATTAGCCGGGTGTGGTCATGTGCACCTGTAATCCCAGCTACTCGGGAGGCTGAGGCAGGAGAATCGCGTGAACCTGGGAGGCAGAGGTTGCAGTGAGCTGAGATTACGCCATCGCACTCCATCTTGGGTGACAGTACAAGACTTCTTCTCAAAAAAAAAAAAAAAAAATCAAAATGCTTAACGGGATGAAGACTTAAAAAATAAACCCTTGGACTGAGCTGAGTGGCTCATGCCTGTAATCCCAACACTTTGGGAGGCCGAGGCGGATGGATCACCTGAGGTCAGGAGTTCGAGATCAGCCTGGCCAACATGGTGAAACCCTGTCTCTACTAAAAACACAAAAAATCAGTCAGAAATCACTTGAACCCGGTAGGCAGAGGTGGCAGTGAGCCGAGGTCATGCCGCTGAACTCCAGCCTGGGCAGCAGAGTGAGACTCGGTCTCAAAAAAACCACAGAACCCTTTTTTCCATGAGTCATCTGGAGACTTGGACCCTGGGAACCCACTTTTAACCATGTTGCCACAGACAGAGCTGGTTGGAAGGAGGCTGGGCCCAGGACACAACACGATCCCACGATGCCACTCAGACATCAGCCACATTAGCCTGGGGGGAGCCCGGTGCCCATGAGCCTGGGCCCCTCTGCCTGACAAGGTCCCCACCCCCAGGTGCGTGGTACTGAAGCTGGCCAGCTTGGGGATGTTCTTCTTCTCTCTGGGTCAGACCATACTGTGCATTGGCAGAGACAAGACCAGCTGTGAGTCCTACGGCTACAACGCTTGTGACTATCAGGTGGCTGAAAGCCTGGTGGGGCCTGTCCCTCCTTCCTTCTCCCCAAAAGCCCACCTCAAACTGTGTCGAGCCCTGTTCCTGCCCCTTAGTCACCTTTGAGAGTTGTGAGCAGAGCTGCCTCTACTGTGGCACACCCCCAGGGGGCGCCACTGCTGCCATGAGGTGTCATGAGGCCGCCCTGGTTGGGGGTTTTCTGCTCCAATCCCATTCTCAAGGCCTGGGTTTCCACCTAGTGATTCTATCAGACTCCAGGCAAGGCGCCTGTGCCACAGAGACCCCCACAAGAGGCTAAGGGAAGGGAGGGCGGGCCGTGAGTGGTGACTAGTCCCCTTCCTCTGCACCCCAGTGCTGGGAGAACTCCGTAGGGGAGGAGCTGTACAAGCTGAGTATCTTCAACTTCCTCCTCACCGCGGCCTTCGCCTTCCTGGTCACCTTGCCTCGGAGGTGAGTGCCGGGGGCCCGCCTCCGGGAGGGCGAGGGTGCTGCAGGCATGTTGGGGGATGGTCAGTGGCTACAGCCAAGGGTGAGCGGGTCCAGCATGGAGCCCAGGAGTGAATGACAGGCTGCGGCCACGACCAATGCAGCCCACGAATCTGTCTGGAGTGGTGGGTACCTGGCTCCTTTGTGGGCCCTCTCGTCCCTACAGGCTGCTGGTGGACCGGTTCTCAGGCCGGTTCTGGGCCTGGCTGGACCGGGAGGAGTTCCTGGTGCCCAAGAATGTGCTGGACATCGTGGCGGCGCAGACGGTCACCTGGATGGGTCTCTTCTACTGCCCCCTGCTGCCCCTGCTGAATAGCATCTTCCTCTTCCTCACCTTCTACATCAAGAAGGTGATTGCTCACGGCTGGGTGGGCAGCTTGAGCTGGCCTCGCTCCCTGCTCCTGCCCGCTTCCCTGGCCTCAGCCCCCTGGGGTCTGCACACCTGGCTGACTCCTGGTTGCTGTTGCTTGTGCCCCCAGTACACCCTCCTGAAGAACTCCAGGGCGTCTTTGCGGCCCTTCCGAGCCTCCAGCTCCACTTTCTTCTTCCAGCTGGTGCTCCTCCTGGGCCTGCTTCTGGCCGTGGTGCCCCTGGGCTATGTGGTCAGCAGGTAGGAGGAGGGGCACCTGGAGGCTGGCAGGGGCAACTCCTCACCCGGGACCCTGGTGCCAGCCCCCCTTGGCCATCTCTCTCCAGCATCCACTCTTCCTTGGACTGTGGCCTCTTCACTAACTATTCAGCCCCCTGGCAAGTGGTCCCAGAGCTGGTGGCCCTTGGACTCCCGCCCCTTGGCCAGCGTGCCCTCCACTACCTGGGCTCCCACGCCTTCAGCTTCCCGCTCCTCATCATGCTCAGGTGCTCAGGGCAGCAGGACTCACAGAAGGGGGCACCTGGAAGGGGAGGTCCTTCTTCCATGGGGGTGGCGAGCCTGTGCACCCCCAGCCAGGAGCCAGATTTGGGAAGCCAAGGGAAGCAAGGGCCCCTGAAAAGGAGGAGGCACCTCCTGGGCTCACCGTCTGGGCTGCCGTGGGGATTGCAGGATCCAGGGAAGCACCATGTCTGGGCAGCCGCAGCTGCTGAGCTATTGGTATTGCTGTGCTATAGGTGAGGGGATGGGGGGCCCTGTGAGGAAGGAGGGGACGGTCCCATCCTCAGATACAGCGGTGTGCAGTGAGGAGTGTTGAAGTTTGAAGTGGGGAGAGAGGAAGTCAGGGAGAGGCGCCTGTGGCCCCAGGGGCAACTGACAATGAATGTCCTTCCAACCCAAGCCTTGTCCTGACCGTGTGCATCTCCCAGACCCAGGCCAATGCAAGGGCCATCCACAGGCTTCGGAAGCAGCTCGTGTGGGTGAGTGTCCTTGGGGCAGCTTCAGTGGAAACCCTTCCCTGTGTGTGTGGCCTAGGGCCTAGGACAGGGCTGAGCTGGAGGGTGTGGCCTCAGGCTGAGGGTAAAGATGGGGAAGGGGAGGAAAGGAATGGCTGGGGCTCCTGAGACAGGGAGCCGGACCTGGTAAAACATGACCTTAGGGGTTGGGCCTCGGTCTGTGATCCCAGTGCTTTGGAGGCCCAGGCAGGAGGATCGGATAGTTTGAAGCCATGAGTTCAAAGCCAGCCTGGGCAACAAAGCAAGACCCCCCATCTCTACCAAAAACCAATAATTAATTATTTGAAAAGAGAATATGGCTGAGTGCAGTGGGTCACACCAAGGCATGAAGACTGCTTGAGTTCAGGAGTTTGAGACCAGGCTGAGCAACATAGCAAGATCTCCTCTCTACTAAAAATTAAAGAAATGAGCTAGGGTGGTGGCTCGCACCTGTGGTTGCAGCTACTCTAGAGGCTGAGGTGGGAGGATCGCTTGAGCCTAAGAGGCGGAGGCTGCAGTAAGCTGTGTCTTGCTACTGCACTCCTGCCTGGGCAACAGAGAGAGACCCAGTCTCAAAAAAAAAAAAGATACGACTTTAGGCTTGGGGACAGAGGCTTAATAGAGCTCCAGCGGAACAGTGACATGGCTAAGGCGTGGCCTCAGGGTGGGGCCTTTAATGGGGCGTGGCCTTGGGCTGCGGACTCTTAGAGGGCGTGGTCTATAGCTGCTTGGGGTGGGACCCTGGTGGGGCGTGGTCTCAGGATGCATTGTGGGCGGGCCGCTTGGAGGGCGTGGTCTAGGCCTGTATAGGGCGGAACTCTAGTGGGGCGTGGCCGTGGGAGGGTGTGATATCTGGCGGGGCCGAGGCCTCTGGCTACTTCCGGGGTGGGCGGTCCCGTGGGCCACGGAGCTGCTGCCGCTGCTGTCCGGACACACGCTCGTGGGAAGCAGCGCCTGTCGCAATTCGCCGCTCGCTCTCCTCACAGCAGGTTCAGGAGAAGTGGCACCTGGTGGAGGACCTGTCGAGACTGCTCCCGGAGCCAGGCCGGAGGGACTCTCTGGGCCCGGAGTCCCCTGCTTCCCGAGCTTCGCGCCCACGGTCCTTCTGCCCGGGATTCCCGTGCCCTGGCTCCCCGGGACCTCGGGACCCGCGGCCGGGCTCCTCCGCCGTGAATGCCCTGGGGCTGCGCTCCCCTTGCCCTGGACCACATGGTACCCCGGCCTCCACCCATAGAGCCCGCTTCCCCAGCGGCCCGGAGCTATAAACCCGACCCCCGTCCCCGAGGCCTCCCTGGGACCCTTTCCAGGCCTCCTTACTCCACCTTCCAGGACCCTGGTGACCACCGACCCCTCATTGGCTCCAGGGCCTCCCTCAGGGGTCCCCAAAGATGGACACATACCCCCAGGGGCATCAGGAAGAACATATGGGAATATTCTATCTGTATTTTTATCTCATCCCTTTAAAATATCTATTTTTATTGCATATTTTATAATATACGTAATCTATTAGTATAGTGTCTCGTGAATGCAATTTTTTTTTTAGTGTTCTGATTTTTTTTAGAGCCGTGAGTGCAGTTTATACTCATCTATTGGGAATGCCTGGAAGTTGTTTACTGATGGGAGTGCCATCAGAAGAGTTTGGGGACCACCTCCTAAGGATGGGAAAAGCTGGCCACAGTTAGAGCAAGCCTGTCTGGGGGACCTGCTCTGTGTTCCAGCTGCAAACTGTCTGCATCATCCCCTCCTGTTACTCTTCCTTCACATGAGACAGTCGAGATCACAGCATCAGCCAGGGCCAGAGCTGGGATTTGAACCCAGGCACTCGGGCTCGAGAGCCACACTGCCCCAGCGTGGGGCTTACAGGCTGCTCCTGGCCCTAACTGAGCGTCCAGCTGAAGCCTGGAGAGCGGGTGCTGGGCCAGCCTCTCCCTGGCGGGAATCCTCTCCAACCAGTCTAACCCAGCAGCCTCAGGTCCACAGAGCTGCCTTGGGAAACTCAGCAGAGCCCTGGCTCCCTTTTCTTCCAGCCTGCTTCACCGTTCCCTGGTTGAGCCAAGCTTGCAGATCCGTGGGGTGAAGGTACCCGCACTGCCTGGGCCTTAGTGCTATGTACGGGCCTGCAATGTAAGGGATACCGAGTGTGAGCAGCAGGCGGGGCCCATGCAGGTGAGGCAGCTGGCAGCAAGGGCAGGGCTAGGACCCCCTCCCAAGGCTGTGTCTGACATTCTTGAGCCCGTTCAGGGTTCCTTTTCCAAGCCTCCCGCCCTCCCGCCCCCACCCCTGCCATGCCGCAGTGACTCTAAACGTGTGGCTGTCAGCCTTGGAGAAGCTGCTGTAAGCTGGCTGCATCCCAGCGACTCTGATGTGGTTGGTCTGGGTGTGGCCAACAGCCAGGGCATCGGGACTTTTCGAAGCTCCCAGGTGACTTACAGACATCTGGGGCTGAGAACTGTCAGGAGGGAAAGTCAGAAGTCCCAGGACGTACCTGAAAAGCCTCTAGCTCCACCAGTGACCAGCTCCTGGCCGGACTCTTGGCCTGGACTCAGCACCTGAGAGGCCTCTTCACCCTCAGGGCTGGGGGCTTCTTCACGTGGTCATCAAAGACTTGACCAGTTCCGCCTCTCCGGCTGCTGTCCTCATCCCACCCAGAGTCACATGACCCATCAGTTCACCAACAAACACGATGAAGCGCTGCCAGTGCCGGATTCTGTTCTGGGCACTGGCAATGAGGCCAAGAGGGAAGCAGGGAGCTCTGGGTTCCGTCTGGGGGGCGACAAGCCTGGACCAGATAAAAGTGACTCATGTTGTTAATTAGCAGCTTAGGCCCAAAGGTGGCCCCTGGACCAGTGGCCTCAGCACCACCTGGGAAAAGGTTAGAAATGCAAATTCCCAGGCCCCACCTCGGCCTCCTGAATCACAGTATCCCTTTGGCAAAACATACTGAGAAACAACCACGTGCATCGCCCAGCGCTGTGAGGAAGACCCACTTTGAGACCTCGAAGGAATCATGAAACTCCGGGCCTCTGTGTACTCACCCAGGGAGTGATGAAGATGCCATGCTCCCCCACATGGCCTCCAAGATTAAGTGAGCAATGACTTGTTTTTTTGAGACAGTCTCTTTTTGTCGCCCAGGCTGGAGTGCAGTTGCGAGATCTCGGCTCACTGCAACCTCTGCCTCCCAGGTTCAAGCCATTCTCCTGCCTTAGCCTCCTGAGTAGCTGGAACTATAGGCACTTGCCACCATGCCCAGCTAATTTTTTGTTTTGTTTTTGTTTTCAACATGGAGTTTCGCTCCCATTGCCCAGGTTGGAGTGTAATGGCGCCATCACAGCTCACTGCAACCTCTGCTTCCCAGGTTCAAGCCATCCTCCTGCTTCAGCCTCCCGAGTAGCTGGGACTACAGGTGCCCAATACCACACCCAGCTAATTTTTTTATATTTTTAGTAGAGATGGCATTTCACCATGTTGGCCAGGCTGGTCTCAAACTCCTGACCTTAGATGACCCACCTGCCTCATCCTCCCAAAGTGCTGGCATTACAGGCGTGAGCCACTGTGCCCAGCCCATGCAATGACTTTTGAAGTGTCCCCATAGGGACCTAGCAGTGCAGTGGTGGCTCCTGTTACAACGTGGTTGCTGGCCTGAAGGAGCCAAATGGGAGATGATGGGGAGTGGACCTGGGGCCCCTGTGATTGGGACCACCCAGGAAGACAGCCCAGGGGGCCTTGGGGGATGGGCCTCTTCCTTCAGGAGGGCTCATGGAGCCGGTGACAAGCAGGGCTTTGGAGAAAGGGAGGCTTTGGACAGGAGCTGAGGGCAGAGAGGGAGCCTGAGCAAAGATGTGGTGAAGGGACCACAGGGAAGACTGGGAAGCTGGGAATCTGAGGCCTCTAGACTGGGATGGAGGACACACAGCGACAGCCAGTGTAAAGGTGGAATCAGCGCTCTGGCAGGCAGCGTGTGCCATGGGATGGGATGATTTTCTGTAGATGACAGGCAGCTGGAGGGCCATGACCTAATGAGGGGCTCTGCCAGGAGCTTAGATGTCCCACCCGGCAGAGAGGGATTCTCTAGGGCTTATGTAGCAGGCCCAGTAAAGTTCTCACCAGATGGGAGAGCCCACTGCAGGTGTGGTGTCCCAGCTGCCCCTAGCCTTGGGGACTCCTGGGCCCTCCCCTGCCCAGCCCTGAGAGACCCCCACCCCATCTTTCTGTGCCCCTACAACCTCGCTATGCTGGCCGGGGGAGCCCAGAGCAGACTCTCACCCGCAGGACCCTTCCAGGGACAGTATGGGAAAGGAAACGTGGAGATGCTGGGAAGAGCACTTGTTACAGAGGACTGTGGCCTCTGCGAGCAAAAATCACAGAATATCAGCCTGAATCAGGTGGTTGGAGAGCTTTTGGGGATCCCCAAACTCCATGAAAAGTGGCCTGGGAGTGACCTTGGAGGCATGGCTATGTCCTGGCCTACTTTGCAGGCCGGACAGAGGGGCGGCGGCATCTAGAGAACTGGTCAACCAGATGGGTGCACAAGTGATCGCTGGAGGCGCGGGTCACAGGAGGGGTGTTGGAGTCCCCCGAGGTCTGGGGAAAATGGCCCACGAGTCGCCTCGTGCTCCAACTCCAGCTTCCCCACACACTGGGAAGAAGAAGGGCTTCTCATGATCAGCCTTATCTCAAGGTTCCCTTGAACACCACAAGGAGAGAGAGTGAGTTTCCCCTCAGGAGAGAGATTGCCAGCAGCCCCGGGTGGCCAGCCAGCTCCACAGCCACCTGTCTGCCTTCAGTCTTCAGTCCCCTCCCCGACCCGCCTTCATCAAAAGTGAGAACTGGTTGGTTGGGTAGGGAAGGGAGTTTTGCCGGGAAACTAAGAGATAATGCTCTTGCTCCCCAGCTGGGGGAACTGAAAGCAGAGAGGCTGGCGGGCGCCCAGCAGGCAGGCTCCATCCCCGGACCATGGGCAGCAGGCGGCAGAAACAAACTCAGGCCAGCTGGGAGAGGGGGCCACCGAGGCGTCAACAGAGCCAGTCTGCAGTGACCTCCAGGACACCTGCACCTGCCTCCCCACTGTCCTTTTGGCCACTCCCTGGTCAGCCAGGCCACCCCCTCAGACCAGCTTCCCATGTACCCAGGCCTCGGGCACAGCATGTTCCCGAGAAAGGCCAAGAGGAGACCTGGGCAGGTCTGCCTTCCTCGGTCCGGTGTTCACTCCTGGCCTGTGCCCAGGGGCAGGGAGTGTGTTTGACCAGTCGGGTGCCACAGGTGGCAGCAGCTCCAGAGGCAACTGGTCACCTGGCCTCAGGGGACACATTCCTGAAGGAGGCAGGCAGAAAGGGCGTTTCCCACACAAAGTAACTGAGCCTGGCAAGAAAGCTACAGGCTGGTCCAGCAGCCCCAGGCCAAGGTGGGGCACAAAGCCCAGTGCAGTGGCCCAGAGAGGAGCGGGCAGGGTCCTGGCCTCCTCCCCTGCGCCCTCAGATCTCTCTGTGTTCTGGGGACCGCCTGACCCCAGCACTGGCCTCAAGGCTCTGGGAGGCCCTGGGCATCTCCACCCTCCCTTCAGGTGCAGGAGGCTTGGCTGCTAAGGCTCTGCACACACCTTCTCCGATGCAGCTGGGTCTGCTGGGGCCGAGGCCAGCACTGGGGAATGACCATCCATATGACCTCCTGGCACCCTCAGTGGGGCCTGAGGAACTTCTGAAGGGCAGAGCTTGGGCACACCACATCACACTCCAGGAGCAGGGGCCTCGTACTCTGGGGCTTCATTCTGGGGCTGGGTGCAGCCTTGGCCATCCAGCTCTGAACCATCATGAGATGGGCGGGGCTGCCTCTCCTCAACCCGGCAGGTCCCCAGCTGGGAAACGACCCAGTGATTACATGAGGGTCACCTGGGCCATCTAGACAGCCTCCTCCTCTTAAAATGAGAAGATTTGCAGCCTTAATTTCCCTTGCCAAGTAACACAGTGTTCACGGGCTCCAGTGATTAGAGCACGGACACCTTTTTTTTTTGAGATGGAGTCATGTTCGGTCACACAGGGTGGAGTGCAGTGGCATGATCTTGGCCCACTGCAACCTCCACCTCCCAGGTTCAAGCAATTCTCCTTGCCTCAGGCTCCCAAGTAGCTGGGACTATAGGCACGTGCCACCATGCCCTGCTAATTTTTGTATTTTTAGTACAGACAGGGTTTCGCCATGTTGGCCAGGCTGTTCTCGAACTCCTGACTTCGGGTGATCTGTCCACCTCAGCCTCCCAAAGTGCTGGGATTCCAGGTGTGAGCCACACACCAGGCTGAGCATGGACATCTGCCCATCACATGAGCCCAGTGTCCTGTGGCTCAGAGCTGACTGCTGAGTCTAGGCCCTGGTCTGGCTTCAAGGTCCAAACTCCTACTTCTCTGGGGACTGAGAGAGAGTTTGCTATACTGAGCCTGCTGGGGCTCTGTGCCCAGCCCTGGTAGCTGAGGCCCTGGGGTGCTGCTGCCTCCAGGTTATCTCTCTGTTGCAGGCACCCACCCAAGGAGTATCCCAGGGTCCCCAGGGCGGGGGAGGCAAGGAGGTAGAAGGTCCTCACTGCCTGAACAGAGGCCCCAAACCCACGAGGCATGAGGCTCCCTGGGCTGCTCTGCTTGGCTGTGCTAGGTAAGTCTACAGGGGACATGATGGTGGGGCTGCTGCCAGGGCCTGGGGGCCACAGGCTCAGGTGGGGGTACTGGGAGCACAGGGCAGATGAGGCCTGAAGCACGGGAAACCTCTGGAAACACAGGACAGAGAGGGAAAGATCGGGGCTTGAGTCTCAGACCAGCCCCTATACTTGCTGCATGTGTGGTCGAGGGACTGCGTCACCATTTAGGGCCCACTGCTTACCCATCTACATAATGGGCTGATGATAGGAAATGATGGGGGGCGCACAAGAGCTTTTGTGAGTGATGGTGCTGGTTGAGTCCTGGGGCCTCACTACCAGGAATCAGCCTGCTCCTCCCTCCTGGCTTCAGCAGGTGGGTCTCAAGGCTGCCTCTGGCCTCCCTTTCATCCCAGGCTCTCTCCTCACCGCCCTCACCTCTCTTACAGCTGCCAGCAGCTTCCCCGAGGTGCAGGAGGAAGGCAAGTGGCCCAGCACACTGGAGGGAGAAGTCCCCCAGCTGGGACCCTGGTGTCAGAACCCCCCACTGTGGAGGGTGCCTCGGCCGGGGAGGAAGTTGCTGGTGGGGAGGTGTGTGCTGGAGGATGGCTGGACAGTTTTCCACCCTGCAGGGCCCTAGGGGTGATGGAGAGGGGTGGGCTGAGCAGGCCAGTGTGGAGACCTCTGGGGGACACAGTCGGGGAAGGCGCTCAGCTTCCAGCTGTGGCTGGGCAGCTTGGAGGGGGGATTCCCTGGGCAGGTGCATCCTCATCACTGCCCCAGGTCCCTGATTGGGAGCAGAAGCCCTGCTGGGAGCCCCACAGCTGTGCCGGTGGGTGAGGCCCCGTGGAGGGCTGGGGGATTCTGATGGGGCCTGGAAGGTCAGGATCCTCCCTCCAGGAAGAGGCCATGGGAGAATGGCCAAGTCGAGGCTCCTCCAGGACCTGACATACAAGAGGCTGCCTTCCTCATGGAGGCAGCCAGAGAGTGGATAGCGTCTGGGGCCCAGCTGGGTACAGGACCAGGGAGGAGGGGATGCTGGGGAGGGTCCCTGGCAGCCCCTGGCCTGGCCTGCTTTCTCATCTTTGTGCACCCCATCCTTCTGTCTGCACTTTTCTGTCCCATCCTTCCCTCCCCTCCCCTCATGTCACTTAAAATGAGGATGGGGCCAGGTGTGGTGCTCACGCCTGTAATCCCAGCACTTTGGGAGGCTGAGGCGGGCAGATCATGAGGTCAAGAGATCGAGACCATCCTGGTCAACATGATGAAACGCCGTCTCTACTAAAAATACAAAATTAGGCCGGGCGCGGTGGCTCAAGCCTGTAATCCCAGCACTTTGGGAGGCTGAGGCGGGTGGATCACGAGGTCGAGAGATCGAGACCAACCTGGTCAACATGGTGAAACCCCGTCTCTACTAAAATACAAAAAATTAGCTGGGCATGGTGGCGCGTACCTGTAATCCCAGCTACTCAGGAGGCTGAGG